ATTTAATGGGACGACAGAGGCGACAAAACCGGCTCCCAAATCACTTGTGCCGCCTGCCCCAATCAGCAAAACTGAAGCCGCCCTGCCACCACGATCAACGTCGTTGCGCCACCCGCCACCGGATGTCCTATCAAAAACGGTCACGACAGAAGGATCCAAGTTGGATGATGACTCGCTGCCACCACTGCCGACGCTTCCCCACCATTCGTCGACGCCCTCCACGGAAATTTGGAAGCGCCGCTCAGAAAAGGCAGAGACCAATCTATCGGTGACTGAGCTGAATCTGAAAGCAACGCCAGCTCTGCAAAGCACCATTGCGGTCGCTGTCGCTGCTGACGTCCAAAATAGTAAAAATAAATCTGGCATCCTCCAGCCGCCGCAGAAGCAACTGCAACCACAACCACCACCACCACAACAACAACAGCAGCAACAATTACAAGCACACACCCTGCAAAACCCGCAAAACTTGCAAAAGGAACTGCCGCGTCTCACACCAGCCAACGATGCTAGCCATCTTGCTTCCGCACAACCCCTGCCCCCGCCCCAGTCTCCTCTACCACCACCGCCCACTCGCTCTGCGCTCAACCAGCTTCAACCACCCAAATCGCCGCTTGTCGGTGGTTCCAATGCAAACGGTGCCTCGCCCTCCTTGGTAGCGCCGTCGCCGCGACTCGGTCTGCCGGGTCGCGATATCCGACCCTCTCACCAGGCCAGCCCGGCCGTGACACCGACGACTGTATCGCAAACGCAACTGGCAGCCGACGCAGCGGCGCCCGCCATGGGATCCTCTCTCGCCAAAGTCGAGAACAAGGTGGAATCGGCCTTCAAACGCAAGCCTGCACCAGCCGTATCTGTTCCCTCGGCACCGGCCGCCAAAGAGCTGCCGCCACCACCGCCTCCATCGTTCCAGCGCCCGCCAACGCCCGAGTACGACGACGAGGACAAGATCAAAGACAACAGCAAAGATGACACGTCGACCGCTCAGTCCGCCATAGGCACAGTGGGTGCCTCGAGCAGCTCCACAACTGTCGTGGACGTACCTGTATCACCGGCCGCGTCACCGGCTGCGTCACCGGCGGGTTCGATGTCGTCCGCTTCAGCCCAGCAGCAGCAGCAGCAGCAGCAGCAGCAGCGACAGCAGCGACAGCAGCGACAGCAACCATCGCCTCCTGTAAACAGCGGTCTCGTTGGCCGGGAGATCCGGCCGGTCAAGAGCGTCGCCCGCCTGGCAGACTCTCCGGACCAGCTACAACAACCACAACAACCACAACAGCAACCTCAACCCCGGTTTACGCCCCGCACCTCGTCGCGAAACGCTTCGATTTCGACAATTTCTGGTGCGCTCGCTGGACCGCTGCCGCCGGCCAAAGAAATACCGGCGCCTGTGGCGCCTGTGTCTGAGCGACCACACGCCGACTCGGCCGTGTCCTTTGTCAGTGAATCAGGCAGCCAGGTGACCATCAAGGCGGTCGCACAGAAGCAGCTCCCATCACCAGAGTCTGCCGAGACCAGCGAGGATCTGTCAGCAGCTGCGTCGACGCGGCCAGACTCGTCGGAGTCCGCCGACCTTCCCCTCGCTCCGGGCATGCCCCCACTGTTTCCAACGGGCTACATGACCGATGTCATCACTCCCGATACCGTCTTTGCGGCGCCGCCACCGTCCAAGATCCAGTTCCAATGCCTGCACGGCCACCGCGACATGTTCCGTGACCGTAACGTCAACTACCCATTGAGCTGCCAGACGTGCCAGACGTTTGAGCGCTCGATGCGCTGGCGGTGCAAGTGGTGCTACCTGCGCGTCTGCTCAGGGTGCCGGGATGTGTTGCACACGCACGCCAAGCACGACCTGGCACAGCTTCTGACTTACCTGGCAGAAGGGGGCGGCAAGGAGGCTGTCGGTGTGGATGGTCACGACTTAGATGGCAAGCCAGTTGTCCACTCCATCTCGTCTGCTGCTGAGCTCCCAGTCATTCAGGAAGCATAATAACGCCTTCATGTTTCCTTCTTTTATCTTCTCCTGTTCTTTTGGAAAGAACAAGACTTATATTCGATTTCACACCCTATTTACTTCGTTTTGGATATTGTTTTCCTACCCCTATTTATTTATTTATTTTTATGTTTTTCATCGCTATAGTCTGCTTTATTTCCTTTGTTTTTTAAAACGACCTCTATTTCTGGTTAATTGGCTACAACGGACATGGCTCAGGGGAGGATCATAATGGCACCATATTCCACCACGAGCACCTCGTAGAAGGTAGACTTGGGACATGATGAAACGACGTTATACCGCAAGGCAACATGTATTTCGCCTAGCATCATCTATAGATAGAATATCAATCATGGTCTAATTAGTATTGTGTCATCTCACACCACGAGGAGTACACATCCTACGACGGCGAAATATGAAATGTGAAAATCTCCGTGAGACAGTCAGCCTTGTCTTCTCCGGCTTGTCTTGCTCTTTCGCACATCAAATTATGGCGTGCGCTTTCCACGATAGCGACACGTGCTTGATTGAAACTAGACACTCGAAATGCTTCAAAAGTAACGGGGAAGCAGCGTCGTGTTCGTGAGTGATGATGCATTACTTTGGTAAGGCGACGCCAATTCGATGGTTACAAGGATGTGATGCTCTGTTTTTGACACGATTGGTCTCTGTTAGGCGACCCTGCAAGGCGCGCTAGCGGCAGCACAATAGCGTACCTCCCTAGTAAGACGCAATTGACTGTTGACGTTTGAGCTGCCAATCGAAATTTAGCGTCCAACGGCCAGGCGCAACGGTCAACAAACATCTCCAAATCACGACACACGACCAACTGCGACGGAGGACAGCCCGATATTCTGTCTTAGTCTGTGCATCACGCAAGCGCACACACAAACACACACACACACAGTCTGAAATGCCTATACCGCCGCCATCGTCTATACCGACACAACCACCGCCCGCGGGCGGCGCTGGCCTTTCGCGAACTCGGTCTCTGCGCCGGCCGCAGGCCGGACTGCCAGCTTCGGCGGCCGCAGCAGCGCAGCCAGCACAGGCCGCACAGACTGGAGCGCGCGGACCGTCACCCAGCCGTCTTCCCGTGAAGCCAACAGCGGGAACGACAACGTTGCTTAGCCAGAAACCGCGGCCCCCATCTGCGACGGGCAGTTTAGCATCGGCTCGCGTACGGCGGCCAGATGCCGCGCCTGCACCGTCGACGTCTTCGTCTTCGTCGGCCATGGCGCCAAGACCAGCAACAAAGCCGCCCTCGTCGTCGCGCACGCATCTGATATCGTCAGGTTCTGCGGGGACGGCGGCCGGCGGTGCTGTGCCGCGACGGCCGGCGTCAGCGAGTGGGCGACCCACGTCGTCTGGCGGGCTGCCGTCATCCTCGTCGACGACGGCTACCTCGACACAAATGACACGAACACGCTCTGCTGCGGGAGCATCGGCGGCGTCGGGCCCTCTTCGAGGCCACACGCGGAACAAATCGGCGTCAATAGTATCCGGTTCGTCAGCGACAACAGCAACAAAACCAGCGACGAGACCGCCGCCTGCAAGACAGCCATCTAGACCCCCATCAGCTACGACTCTGTCGTCTGCGACGGTCCTACGACCTCCATCGGCGCAGTCGTCGTCGACCGCCAGCAGTGGCACCGCCAGCCGCCCACCAACGCGTGGCGCCGCGAGTGCGTCGTCCACGACCGTCACCGCGCCCGCCAGATCCACGGCTCATCGCCGCAACGCATCGGCCGTGGCCACGTCGACCACCTCGCATGCTGCTGCTGCCGCTGCTGCCACACATCACCGCCCTGCGTTTTCCACCCACCAGCAGCACTACTCCCCGGCCAAGAACCTCGCCCCAAAACCGCGGATTGCCGCCATCCTCGCTCCGCCCGCCTCGCCCTCCAAGAAGCCAGCCAATGTCGCCCTCTCCGCCGAGACTGGCCGTCTTCAGACCACCCTGCTCCAGCTTCACCTGCTCCACCGCGACGCCGCTGCCGTCACGGCCGAATGGCACGCCTCAGCACGCCAGGCGCTGGCCGGCGAGCGTCTGGCGGCACTGGCGGCCGACCATGCCGAGCTCGTGCAGATGGCCGGCCAGCGTGCCGAGTCGGCCAACGCGACGGCCCTATACGAATGGGGCCGCCAAGACGGCGGGTCATTTGACCTGGGTCTGACACTGGAGGAAAAGATCCAGGCACTGGACGCGGTGCTCTCGGGCGTGTGGTCCCTGTCTGCGGCCAGCCACCAGGGCCCCACCGACGCCTCGTCGGCCTCCGCCTCGTCCACCAGCCGCTACGTCCAGGTGGTGCGCCGGTTCGACCGCTGGGCGCAGCACACGGCCGATCTTGTCGCGTCGCGGCAAGGCATCGACACGCTCGAGGACTTGATGGACGAGGACGAGAGCAGCGGTGACGAGCATGGTGACAGACACAACAACACGCGTGTTGCGGTAGGATTCCTGTCCGATGAAAAAGAGCCCCTTCTTGACGCAGCATGGCACGAAGAGTGTGCCCACCTAGTGCACAAGCTCGAGGGCTGGCAGCAGCAGCTGGAACACTTGGGCCGTGTCGACAATGGCAATGAACACGGAAAGGAGGCACATGCACAACAGCAACAGCAGCAGCAGCAGTCCAGTTTGCACCGCATATTGACCAACTGTCGCAGCTTGGTCGACGGCATGCTGGACGAGCTGCACATGATGCAGCAGCTGGAGCGTGACGCAGCCGAACAGGAGCTGGCCTGGATCCGGAAGTTGAACGCAGCCGCTGGTGCCAGCAGTCTCGGCCTCCAAGAACATGTCCGACAACCAGCTAGAGCTGGTGCGATTTGGAGAGTTATGTAAGCCAAGGTGGCGCCATTTAGCGTACTCTTACAATAACGGGATACGGTGTCTTGTGAAAGGGGCCAGATATTTTTAATAAATAGTTAATAATCAATAAACAAACGTTGAGCAGTCTGCCAAGCTAGAGTATCAAAAGTCATAAGGCGTGAAACATATCGAGGAATTAGATCATATCGCTCCCACCTCTCCCAAGCGCGTGTCCAACACATCCTCGTATGCCGTCATCAGATATCGCAAAACACTCTGCGCCATCTTCTCCCGTGCGGCCTTCTTGGTAAACACATCGTGCACCTCGCCGACGCCCTCAGGCAGGGTACGCCCTACACTGGTCCCGCCACCCTTGGTGCTGAGCGGTGAAAACACAATACGGCCGCTAAAGATGTTCTCGGCGCCTTCGCCGCTCGGCACCAGGTTATACGTGGGCGAGCCAAGCTTAAGCGCCTTGCACAACGAATCGAGTTGCTGGATGCTGGACACTTTGAGGTCGTTGCCATCGCTCCAGGAGTGCGGCGGCCGCTCGCTGAAGCTGGACATGTTGCCTCGGCTGCCCACAACGTTTGTGGCAGTGATCCCCTGGTCGGGTGAAGCTTGCTCCTCGGCTCGCCCAAGACGCCATTCCGTCGCAGGCCGGGCGGAAACCTCTGCTGGCCAAGCCACCAACGGTCGGGGCCGGCTCTGAGACGGATTTCGAGCCGACGGCGTATTGTCTCTCACTGTCGTGATCGCTGTGGAACTGGCCGAACTGGCAAGCGCTGTTGCGGTGCTTTTGAGAGCATGCTTAATGTGGAAGCCGTCCGAAGACATGAGACCCTGAGAGATGAGACACTCAATGGCGCATCGTGCCGCATGCTGTCTTGAAGCCTTCTTGGACGGGAAGACGCTGTCCTCTGGACGAGGTTCGTTGAAATCCGGGAACCAGAGGTCGGGCGCCTCGCGAGGGAGTCGGCATCGGGTGCGCCATTGTGGCGAGCCATGGATGCTAGCCGGGAGCTCCTCGTAGACGTACTCGGCGGGTACAATGGCATCCTTGTAAGACTGGGTAAACCCTACTTCGCGTAAGAAAGATGAGTGACATCAAATATGGGGCCCGACAAATACGCACACGTCAACCGGCTGACCCAGTCGGTTTCCATCCCATCGACTCCCTCTTGCTTGAGGGACAGAGCCGGGGGCGAAAGTGGCTGTGGCGAGACGAGGACGGCCATGGCGAGACGCTGTTCGTCCGTCAACGGCGCCGGCTCGCCGGTGCGGCGCTCGTAGTCTTCTTGATCATAGATCCACGTTTTAAGGGCGCTGTATGAGACAGGCCCGACTAGTTGCGCCTGACTGCCCATGACGAAGGCTTTGAAGATATGAGTTGGCAGGAGTATGCTGTGTTGGCTTTTGGACAGGTACACCCAACAATATGGGTGTGGTTAACAGAGCAAATGAAAGCCTGAGAACGGCTGGACTTTCGGTGCCAGAGTAAGCCGGACAGAGTACGGCAAACAGGCGCTTTTTATATCGGCCAGTCTGCAGAGCCGCAACGGAAAGAGCGACTGAGCTGGCAACAAAGGCTCACAAGAGGAAGGTGCGAGACTCCGTCACATCGCCCGAGGAGGCAGGAGGCATCAGCTAGCCGGCCGGGGCTCTTGCCCTCCCTCCCGGCGTGCGGAAGCCTTGTCGTTTGGTTCGATGATCAAATGAGAGCCCAACCACAACTTATGGCTTGCTCGGACTGCGTATCAAATTGGCACCGCCAATGCTATTGATCGTTTCTGCGGCCCAACGGGGCGAAGTGCTTCAAAAGTGCACTTTGTCCGGGCGACTCCCCTCCCTCTGACAAAATCCATATGGCGCTGGCTGCTGCCTTGTTTCTGTGTAGGTGAGAGGAAGTGTCGAAACCAGTGCCGGCTCCACCAAAAAAAAAGTTTCAGAATTACTGCCATCCGCAGTACTCTTGTCTTGTGCTTCCTCAGTCGCTTTGTGTGGCCTCCTCTCAGATACTGTATAGTGATGAGACCTGAATATGTGTTGACAGTTTCAAACGAGCCTGTCCAGGTACAGCCAGCGGCTTTCCTATATCCTGTTTGCCAATAGGAATGCAGTATCGACAATAGGTACTTTGCGCGTCACAACCACATATGTACTTGCAGCAACACGAGATGATTACGTAGTGAGCCATGACGAGTAGGGGGTGGGCAAGAGAGGGGCTTGCGGGGCTTGGGCGTTTGATGTCTTTGGTTCTCATAGGGCAGCGCCGTCAGGCCAACACCAAAATAAAAAGAAAGCTGCACCTTGGCGCTACAGAAGCCACACGTAATTGGCTCGTTGTCAACGGCGTCGCGCGACGTTCAGCGCGCACTCACTCATCAACGCCCGCGAGTGCCTGCCCTGGCGTTGGCTTGGTTCGGCAAATCCAGGTCCAGCAGCGGTCGCCAACTCACCAGGGTAAACAACTTTGTAGTCTGTATGGAAAAGAAGGCCGGGCGAAATCGAAGTTGACAAAAAGACACAAACAGTCGGGTTGTCACGAGAAGCCTCATGATGTCGGCCTGGCAGGCTGTTGTCGCCGCACGTTGACCGCCTTTTCAGAGCCTCCTCCTCGCCCGGCTGCTGTGCCGTGTGTTGCTGATACACGATCCTGTTTCCATGTCCCCCTCGTCGCTCCTCGGACGCGCTGACACCCTCTCGTCGCGTTCCTGTCCTTTGCCGCCAGCCCACTGGAGGTCGCCTTGCAGCTCTTCCCTGCCAGTTTGTGGCGGGCTATTTATCCCCGCGCCTACCATCGTTATCTGTCCGCCCGTCGTGACTGTCGTGTTTCCTCTTTTTCGTTTCTTGGTGATCTGGGCATTATGTAATGCTGTCTTTCATGCCATCCGTTATTCCTCAAATGTGCACCTTGTTGCTGTGGCTTCCATTTGTGCAATCATGGAATGGTATGCAGTATTGCTCCGTAATTCACGTATCTTATGTTACTGCCTGTAAGCAATACCGTCGAGCTTAACCGAGACTTTACGAAGTACGACGTATTCACCCATATTTACTGACGGTCCAGGTGGCGCTGTCCATTTCTAACGTCACATCGCTACACACTGAGAGCAATGATGGGTTGCTCCTGGCTTGTGTCCCAGCAAAGACTTGCCCCAGTGGAACAGGCTCCTCAAACGCGGCTGTGCGGGTCTTCGTGCAAGGTCTAGAGCCTGCTTGGGGAAGGCACGAAGGCTCCGTTTCCACCACCGACCTAGCCGCTGCTGCGCTCCAGGTGCGAAAACGACCTTCTGTGTAGTGTGCTCACTGCTCAGTTCCGTCCTGCTGCAGCTCGTGTTGCGAAACTGCTTCGCGTCAATAACGGCGAGAACCCAGCATTGAGGCACAGGCCTCTCGACGCTTATCAACTCACCTGTAACTCATAACCTTGGAGAACAGTGGGACTCCAGTCGTCCTTTCCCAACACGATTTACTGGCCAGAACGGGTCTGGGCGCACCTTTGCTCCTTCCCCTCCTTGCCCACCTTCGAAACAGTGAGCAGCAGCGCAGGCCTTTTTTTAGTTCCAAGGAATTTTTCACCCCTTTCCTTCCCCCTCCCCTCGTTCCCCCCTTCCTGACTTTCCCTGCCCTCTGCTGCTCCTTCCTCACCTTCTTTTCGCACCTTCCCCCAACGACGACCAAAAAAAATCCAAAGCGAAAAAGGGGAATTACCCAAACTGAACAAAGACATCGCGCTTTTTCTTTCCACTACACAAACCCCCCTCGAAAAAACGATCCCATCTTTCAAAAGGCGACGGTTTTCCAAAAGAGACCACTTCGAAAAGAGAACAACACGACCAGCGAAAAAAAGAGACATAACAAAAACAAACGCATTCCGTGTCCTCCCAGCTCGCGACTTCCCGGCTGATCCTGACCCATCCGCTTCTAAACTTTTTGTTGTCCTCACCGCGCACGCGCTGCAGGCCCTCATCCACCGCCTTCTGCCACCCCCGACGACTTTGCATCGAATCCACGAAGCAAATCTATCACGACGACGTCGAGTTTAGGTAAGATTGCGTCCCGCTCTTCTGGTCCTTGTCGTCTTGGTACGACCTTGCCTGCCTTCATCTTTCCCATGCCTCGCCGACGTCCACTTTTTCCTGCACCTTTTCCAAGTCATACGCAATACGATCACATTACTTCGCTTAATTTGCAAACGACCTTGGCCTCGACTCCCTGCCCAGCATCTTGGTTTTCAGATCTGTGCATTCGGGCTTTGTTTTCATATCTCTCGACCTGTGGCCTTCCTCTCCTGCTTCCCTGGCCCTCGTCCTTGTGCAAGGACCATCGTCCTCCCAAGACGAAGATCGTCAGACCCTCACCTTTGCTTGACAGCAATGCATCGTTCATGGCCCAAGATACCTTTTTTCTTTCTCGTCTTCAGAAACAATATCGATCACGCGCGCGTCTTCTGAGGCGCTCTCTTCGAGCCGCGTCAAGAAATATCGCGCCTTTCTTTCTCGCGTCGAGTCTACCTGTCCTTCTGCCAAACCCGTTTTTCCTCCGCTGCCGTCTTGCGACACGGACTTTTTTGTTCTGTCAATGCCCGGACCCACGCCACCTTCTAAATCGCCTCCCATTTTCCATTTGCAAGCAAACATTGCCACAGAAGCCAATGCTAACGCTAAACAGACTTTACAAACTTGTGATATTAGACCTCGACTACGATAGCGACGAGAACTTCTGACGATTTTCCTCCCAAGAGTACACGACGACCAGACTCTCACAAGTCTGAAACCCAAAAGGCGACGTAATCACCAAGGACCTGGTGACCAACCTTCATTGACGAACTCCAGCTGTGCATTTGTCCAGCAGAGTAGCCTCGACGACGAACGAAGAGCTGCAAAAGCCTCAAACTTGACGACGCTCGCAGCTTCTGGTTGCGAACCTCTAGAAACCCCGGAAAACGACACCTTGGTACGTCTTCGTCCCTCATTTGTGCCTCAAATCTTTGCCCTGGGCACTGCATCCTATCACATACGGTTGCGACGGTCTTGATCTCTACCCCAACATTTGTCTAACGCAAATCTGCGTACCTCCAGGAATCAACGGTGCAATTCCCCGCTGCCTGATTCTAGATCCAAGTTACGAGAGTTTTGTCGCTCCTTCATCCTCTCCTCCCATTTGACGCCCACAAATCACCTGAGCCTGTCGAACAAAGACGCTCAAAGGTTTGCGGAGACCTTGACTCACAGAGGCACCTTCGCACCGTCGAAACTCGTCTCCTTGAAAAAACCAAAAGAAAAAAAAATACGGAAAAGGAAGAAATAGCAACTTCGTAAAATGGCCGACCAGCAACACGAGGTCGACCTCGACTCCATCATCGACCGACTTCTCGAGGTCCGCGGTAGCCGTCCTGGCAAGCAGGTTCAGCTTCTGGAAGGCGAGATCCGCTTCCTGTGCACCAAAGCGCGTGAAATTTTCATCTCGCAGCCCATCCTCCTCGAGCTGGAGGCGCCGATCAAGATCTGCGGCGATATCCACGGGCAGTACTACGATCTCCTGCGCTTGTTCGAGTATGGCGGTTTCCCTCCTGAGGCGAACTACCTGTTCCTAGGTGACTACGTCGACCGTGGCAAGCAGTCCCTCGAGACCATCTGCCTCCTGCTTGCGTACAAGATCAAGTACCCCGAGAACTTTTTCATCCTGCGTGGCAACCACGAGTGCGCTTCTATTAACCGTATCTACGGTTTCTACGACGAGTGCAAGCGCCGCTATAACATCAAGCTTTGGAAGACCTTCACCGACTGCTTCAACTGCCTTCCCATTGCCGCTATCATTGACGAGAAGATCTTCACCATGCACGGTGGTCTCAGCCCTGACCTGAACTCCATGGAGCAGATCCGGCGTGTTATGCGCCCCACGGATGTGAGTAATACCAGTGTAGCTTTACTGGCCGAAACAGACTCTTGGGGGAAAGACACCTGCTAACCTCTTTTACATAGATCCCGGATTGCGGTCTGCTGTGCGATCTTCTGTGGTCCGACCCCGACAAGGATATCACGGGTTGGAGCGAAAACGACCGCGGTGTCTCGTTCACCTTTGGACCTGACGTCGTGTCGAGGTTTTTGCAGAAGCACGACATGGACCTGATCTGTCGTGCTCACCAGGTCGTCGAGGACGGCTACGAGTTCTTCTCGAAACGCCAGCTCGTCACGCTGTTCAGTGCCCCTAACTACTGCGGCGAGTTTGACAATGCCGGTGCCATGATGAGCGTAGACGAGAGCCTGCTCTGCTCGTTCCAGATCCTCAAGCCGGCCGAGAAGAAGCAGAAGTATGCTACCCAATCTACCCGCGCACATCCCCTCGTCTTGTCGTTCTCAAACGACCGCTGTGTTCCTAACGACATGCTAATGATTATGTTCTTCCAGGTTTGGCCGCCGCTAGTAACCTAACCTGCTAGTCTTGACTCTCGTCCCCACCGCCAGGGCTGACCTGTCAACCGTACTCTATGTGAACAGACTTTTTATCCCGAGCTCGTGTAATGCTACGCTTTGTTGCTCGGCCGCTGCCACAATCAGCTTTTGCTCACCTTTGACCCCACCAAACGCCGCCGACTCCCGAGCCGTGCGACGAACGGACCGACCGCTTTACTGTCTGCTAGAGTTTTTTTTTTCGTGTTTTTTATCTGCATTATGCTCACTGATTTCTTTCTCTTTTTCTCCGTTTTTTTGAATCCTTGTTGTCTGAGTGTACGAAAGCGCAGCAGTGGGTCGGTCCGTGTGTGGGCTAGAAGTCTTAAGGGACGGGAGGTTGCTGCCGGTTTCTTGGCTCTGTTCTCGTTTTGCCTTACGTTGTTATTTTCTTCTCTCTTCCTCCTCTATTCTTGTTCACCTTCTTCTCTTGTGTCCTGTTATAAATTTTGGAGTGGCCATTCTCAGTCGGGCTGTTTGTTTGTCTCTCTCGTCCCATTCCTCAGATTTGCCGGCCCACCAAAGAACCCACCCAAATAATACAGACGGACACCCGTAAAACATACGAATTGCCATTGCAGCACATACAGAAGTCCACCCTTTTTATTTCCAACATGTGTACGATGTATGCTCCGCGTCAATAAGTCATGGTCGGCTAAGCCGTCTGTACACCGTGTAGTGACGCACTTGACGGCGCGCGACCGGTTCTTGGCGAATGGGCTCTTGATTCGATGCATGGCCAGTCATTTCTTATTGTAGCCCGCCATGACATCCGTATCCACTCATCACTGGAGTCCAGCTATCGTACACTCCTGTCATTCCTCTAGAAAAGCCCGTCTCTCTCACTGGCAATCTTCACAGAACGGTGCTGCATCAGCGTTGTCTTTGGTCTCAGCGTCACCAGCCACTGACGGTGGTACGCCCGTCGGTGTGGCTTCAGCCTTGGGGGCAGGGGCTGCCTCGGCAGCGGGCGCAGTAGCAGCCTTCCCGTAATTGCGGTCCACATGTCCGAGATCCCGGCCCGGCTCGATGACGTCTCGCACGCGCCGCTTCAGTTCCTTCGATTCGGGGAACCCGCCTTCCGTCTTACGGTCCCACAAGAGGCGCGGGGCAGCCGTCCCCGTGCTTGATGCCGCATCGGCCGTCTCAATGGTGACTGCAAAGACGCCACCGGTCGCCGGCTGCAAAGCGACTTCCCCCAGGGCCGGTCCAAAAGTGGACAGGAGTTCCTGGGCAAACTGTCCCAAGAGTCAGTAGTGAGCGTGTACTACAAGGAAGAGAAGGCAGGGGAGTACATACATATGCGGCCCGTAGCATCCACTTGCACTACGTTGCAGGTTACGGTGAGCTGCTGAATCTCTGCCATCTCCCACTATGGGGTAGGTAGTCTCAACCTCACCTGTGTGCAAAACTGAATCGCAACGCGGGGTAGCCGGACGGGGGCACTCGTCTGGATTGTCGACGGCGGTTGCTCAGGAGCGGAGCTGCTTGTGTTCAGTGTGGCCATCTTTTGTTTGTTTGATGATACCAATTTGTGTATTTTGCTCGTAAATGAGGTTACAAAGCACAGAATAGTGGAAGAACGATTTGTGCGTCAGCAGTGTCTCTGTGGGGTTGGCGCTTATCTTTCTGGCGAAGTTTTCTTTTCGCCTCCCATTGAAAATGCCACTACGTGAGTTTGATACCATAACAGATAGCTCATGTTGTTCTATATGTAGGTTGATTAAATTTTGATTTGTATTGCAATTTATTCACGATCCTCTTTCCTATTTTAATTTATTTATCATTTTTTACCATAAAACCCCAATAAAAATCACCAAAGTGTTTTTAAATGTGTAAGAACAAATCCAAAATATTCAAAATAATGAAATAAAAGACGATAATTTCTATATTTGTAAGGTGAACTGAAATATTTGTTACGACAGCCATAATCTCACACTATGTGTTAACTTATACGAGCAATATACCTGGTTGCAAAGTAAACATATTCTCACTCGTTCAAGGTTGACCTACGTACAAGCATACATGCAATCGACTGTAGTTTTAAAAAAGTGTTTTCTCCAGGTTTTTGGACTAAGTCGCGGAAGTAACTACTACATGACATCCCAGGGAGGTATATATGGCAGGCGTGGAAAACGCACAGGAAGATTCTTGGAAAACAAAACGAGAAAGAAAATAGAATGACAAGACGGCGTAAAACGACACAAGAGAAAGCAACAGACATAAGAGAGCCGTAGTAAGTGACAAACCCCGAAAAAAGAGATAGAGGAAAGAAATCGGTGAGCATGACAAGAGGCCGAGCGAATTAAGAGAGTAGTTGGGAGGGCGTGAGCGAGGATATGAGGCAGGCCAACCAGCGCGGCGCATGGAGTACATTTGTAACGAAAGGAGGGACAAGCAGACAAAGAGCTGACCGGCGAGAGGAAGACGGGGAAAGGGGTAAGAAATAAAACATAAGAAAAGCATCGGAACTAATAAAAACAGTTGAAAGAAGACGAAAAAGGTGGAATAGCCATTCGCCGGTAGCCGTTGATAACAGACTGTCGAAAATATTCGGCGCCTGTTTGCACGTTTCCTCCTGCCGACCTGACCTTGTGCCTCTTGTCAAAGCTCGCTAGTTGGTCGTAGATCGCCCACGTTTGTTGGGTGACGTGGAGGGTCGTGGGGTTGAGCTGTATTTTGAGGTTTTGCTGTATTTTTAGGTGGTTTTTGAGTCTGCATGATCTCCTTGTTGACCCATACCCGTCGTCTTCCGATTCTTCGATGTGGGCGGACAGACATGCATGTTTGCGTTCTTGTCCAGTGTTGCTTGCTGCGCAGCGGGCGGCGTCTAGGAAGCATCGCCCGTATGCTCGCATACGTATATCGTTCGCGAGATCGAATGGACGGAGTCACCTTACATGACAACACAGCACCCGCCGCTCTGCTGCGGCGCATACGGGTCTTCACTCTTGGGAACAACACCCCACACGGACGGCACCATGTAGTCGCGTGTGCTGTTGCAGTAGGCGATAATGCTGTGGTCGACCATGTTAGCATGAGGCCAGGAGAGGGGCGATCGATACGGTTGAGTATCGTGATGAGGTCAAAAGGCGCCAGCAATCGCTTGGTGGCAATGGTTGGAGCTGGAGGAGGGCATTGTACAAACCTCTTCGACGCCTGGCTGACGGGAATCCGCTCACGGTCCAGGTCTTCCCGCAGACGGCTATTGAGCTCTGTTAACCGCCGCAGCTTGAGGTCGGCCATGCTCTGCTTCGTCCTCCGCACCTGCGACGGATCGCCAACGTCCCGGGAAGTGTATTGAGGCATGGCTGAGGTGTGTGGTCGGTGAAATGGAGACAAGAATGAAAAGTCGTGACAGTCGTGAAAAAAACCCCACAAGACACGGGCAACTTGTGATACTCTCGCTTCTGTAAATGATGCAAAATAAAAAACAGTGTCAGTCGCGATTGGTCCAAGAAAATGGCTAGGTGGAGAAGGCTGCGAGTTTAAAAGGAATGTGATGCAGGTGCAGGTGTCTTTGCTGGAGCACGTCGCGTGTCGTTGGAGGCAGTCGATTGTGCTATATATGAAAAATATCGCAAGAACGCCGTTGATCTGGGTGAAAAAGCGTCGAGAATTGGAAGCTCAGATGGGACAACAGCTGCAGGCAGGTTTTGGCGTGCGCCTTGTCGTGCTGCGTCGAGTCAATTGTCCCTCCTCTGCTGTCGATGTGCGGGTTTTCTTTCGTTTTTGCAGATCCAAATTGTTTTGTCGAGCGATACCCCTAGCTGGCTCGTTGCGAACTTTGTTGAAAGGTGACCTATAGAGAATGACAATGGTCGTCGATGAAAGCTGAAGACGCGCAATGAGAGGTAGGACGAGTAGACGAGAGTCGAGAAGTTGTCGATTGATTTCGTGAACTGAATTTCGAGTTTTTCGCGTCGCTCGGTTTGCCCCCTTTTTGTCGCATATGCAGTTGAACGCGAGCAGATTACAGGAAGCCGAGTGAAGTGGCTGTGGAGGAAGAGGGGGTCCTTCGAAACTTACCGACCTGGCAAAAAAACAAAGATGTCAATGTCGTCGTGGGAAGGATGACGGCAGATGCACCCAGAATCGTGATCGCGACGAAGGTTCGATATTGAGCGGAGAGATGGCGAGAGAGAATGGGAAGACGAAGAAAAGAAAAGAATTGGCACCAGAAAGCCCCAAATTAGACAGGAAATAACGGCAGGAACGAACGGAAGCGTGGGACCAAAAGGGGAAGGCCTGAAATGCACCAGAGCAAAGAGTGTGAGCAGACGAAAATAGGGTGCCGTTCAAGCAGTAGCCTGTATTACTCCGTTTACCGTAGGGGAGGGGAAACTGGAGCCTGTAACAAGCTAAGGTAACCGTACTCAATAAGGAAGAGAGGGGCTGAAGGTGCGTTGAGCGTTGCGGCGGTGCGGGTCGCGCTTCCCTAAAGGACCGACCTCTGCAACAACAGCACTAAATGAAACTATTTAGCGGCAGAGCTGACCTATTGCTCCCCCGTCATGCCCTTATTGGCAAGCGCAGTACTTCTGTTGCCCATAGTGTACTTTGGTTGCACGAAGTATTCGCTGTTGACTAGCAGATGGACAATGCTTCCCCCTTGCAAAATAAGGAATAGGGAAGTGGAGGCTGTTCCGAGAAGTGCGCGAACACTATTGGTTAAATTGACTTTAGTGGAGTCCTTTCCAAATTGGCCTTGCCCCCTTTTCCACTCCTGACCGTTATTGCAGGTGAGAAATCCATAGAAACGGAGCTCCCTGCAGTTTGTTTCCGTTGCGACTTCGAGGACCTCTTTTTTATTATTATTATCATCTTACCTCTACCAACGCCTCCGGTGGTGCGCTCTCCGGGAGCTCGAGCCTGCCATTCCAAGGAAATTGCAACGGGCGAGCAAAAGCCAACAGAGGCCCGCACACAGTGCTGTCGTTCCTCAGGCCCTTTTGTCCTTTACGTCAGTGTTGTTTTGGTTTATTGTTTGTCTCTAATCTCGTCTTGCTGGTCCCTTGCCTGCTTCCTTTTATTCTCTTCTCTGTGTGCTTTCAGCATCTCAGTACTTTTCTTCTTTCGACTCTCTTTCTTTTCCTGGCTGGATGGTGCAATACACCCCTCTGTGCAACAGGACAGATAGGGAGGGCAAGACATGCAGGAGAACTCGAATAAAACGCTACCAGCCAAGCTAAATCAAGCCAAGCCCATCCTGCTCAGGTTCCCATCTGGTCTGTGTGCCTACAACGCCCCGGGAACCGTGGACAGGTGGCGTATCACAACGAAAATCCTCTGGGGAAGTACAGGCGGAGCGAACTGCGCGCGCACTGGACAGGCGGTGCTCACGACCTGCCAGGGTAAGAGGGCAGACGCGTTGCACAGGCTGGACGGGACAAACAGGGCACGCACCTCCCTCCTGACTTGATACCTTTTGCCAAGGTTGGCCTACACACTGTGGTAAACTTGCCGTCGGCTGTAAATATCCCCAGGGCTGTTCCGGACAGAATCTGCAATTCCATCTCAATATAGAGTAGTTGTTGCACGGCTGAATTGCCTTCTTGCCTTTGGTGACTTGTAGTCGATCGACCGGAATGCGTCTCAAGATTTGGAGGATCCTCCAAATCGTTTCTGAAGAGCAACCCGAGACAGGGAAGATCGCATTTGCTGGCTGATGCAACCGACGATGGACAGGAAATGGAAGGAAGAGACGACAGCAGGATCCGCGAGAAAACACTGGACCCAAGGCTCTGCTGACGTAGAATGACATATCGAACCACCCCGTGAGCTCACATCTCGAGATATGTGATGTTTGAAGCGAGGGCGCTCATCCCAAGTTCATGAATGCAACCGTCAACAGGAAGAAGCACAGAAAGGGGTTTGCATATCGTAGTCCTATCACGGTATCCATATCGCTGCCAAACGCCCAAGGGCTCTGAGGCTCCCTTGCAGCAAGTTGCACATCCGACCCGCTTTTTTGTCTCGCTTCCTTGCCCATCACATCGTAAGATGCTTCGGCAGTCGTTCAAGACATCGTTTTCAGGCCGTGGAAAGATCATTGACACATTGTTAGGCCACCGTTCGTGCTTTCTCTATTGTGTCGTTCTTTCTATTTGCTCGTTCCCGAACGCGCAGTCTTTGTGCACATACTGACGGCAGGCGCTGGCGGCTAGCATGCTTCGAGAACAATGCGAAAACAGAAGGAGCAATGTATTCGTCGCACCGAGACTCGCTATTGTCTCTGCCCAGACTTCGTCTGCGTCCTTGTCCGCCGTTTGCGCTTCTGTTTCTGTTCGCTCGACTTACCCAGCTGGTTCCAGGTGCACCCTGCTCAATCAACGACTTCGTATACCGCTTGTGCTCGCATTCGTAGTCTCAGGTTCATGAGAGCTTCACTGCAATACATGCGTATGGCCGGGGATGCGCCTGCCTGGTTCTTCTTATAGGGCACTTTTCTCTCGCTAGAACCCGCCGTCACGCCCTGTAATACACTGGAATCAAGGACGCCGTGGGTTGACCATAATGATGACTAAGCTCTCAATACAAGCGTCACGTGAAATGCACGAGCCCCGCCCTCCGCCCACAGACTTCGTTCAGCCAACAAAAAATCTTTTCGCGACACTCCACCCGTCCTCCGGCGAAAAATAACAAGATCACCACGTTAGCTGGCCGTCTTCAACTGTCTTTTCCCGCCCACCACACAAATCATCGGGAACTGGCACGAAGACCACTGCACCCTTCACACCGTCTGTACCGCAGAGAAGGTTGCCCATCATGGTATGTGTTTGCACACTTCAGAGCGTCCAGCACGCGAGACTTCATCCATCGAATCGGTTTCTTGTTTTAGCCCCCTTTCCCACACGTCCCCCTCCTCGTTGGCTGCACATCCCACCATCGCCCTCGTTTCGCGTCAGATGGACGTCGAATTGCTGCCCGGCCGCTCGCAGGCTTTCGTTGTTTGTTATTTGATCTGTCGCTAACTCTGTCGCCTTCTCTTCTCTTTGATGATCACAGCCTCCCCCGCCGCATCAAAAACCCGAAAATGTGCTGAAGCGGGCCAACGAGCTCATCGGCGTCAACCAGGCGCCGGCGGCTCTGACCCTGCTGCACGAGCACATCACGTCGAAACGCTCTCGCAATGTCCCCATCGCCTCGCTGGAGCCCGTGATGCTCCTCCTCGTCAACCTCTCCGTCGAACAGAAGAAGGGAAAGCTGGCCAAGGACGCCCTCTACCAGTACAAGAACATCGCCCAGAACACCAATGTCGCCACCATCGAGCTGGTCCTCAAAGACTTTATCGAGCAGGCCGCTGAGAAGGTCAATGCGGCCCAGAAGAAGGCCGACGAGGTCCAGACCAGCCTCGAGGCCTCCGCCCAGATCGACGGCACCACGAACATCGACGACCTGGAGGCGTCCGAGACCCCCGAGTCGATCCTGCTGGCCACCGTCTCCGGCGAGCAATCCCGCGACCGTACTGACCGTGCTATCGTCACCCCTTGGCTCAAGTTCCTCTGGGAGGCATACCGCACCGTTCTTGACATCCTCCGGAACAACGCCCGTCTCGAGCTCATGTACCAGAGCACCGCCATGCAGGCCTTTGATTTCTGCCTCAAGTACGCTCGCAAGACCGAGTTCCGCCGTCTCTGCGAGCTGCTCCGCAACCACGTCCAGACCGCCGCCAAGTACTCCACCCAGATGCACGCTATCAACCTCAGCGACCCCGACACTCTGCAGCGCCACCTAGAGACCCGCTTCCAGCAACTCAACGTCGCCGTCGAGCTTGAGCTGTGGCAGGAGGCCTTCCGCAGTGTCGAGGACATCCACACCCTGCTGAGCCTCAGCAAACGCCCGCCCAAGAACATTATGATGGCCAACTACTACGAGAAGCTCACGCGTATCTTCCTCGTTGGCGAGAACTACCTCTTCCACGCCGCCGCCTGGTCGCGGTACTACCACCTGCTACGCCAGTCCTCCATCCTTGTTGCCAACGGCCAGGGCAAGAAGTCGGACAACCCGCCTGCCTCGGATGCCGACCTCGAGCGCGCTGCGTCGTTTGTCCTGTTGTCCGCCCTGTCGATCCCCGTCATCAGCACCACGCGCTCGCGTGGCGCTATGGTCGACTTTGACGAGGCCCGCAAGAACAAGAACTCGCGCCTCACGCACCTCCTGAGCATGAACTCGGCACCCACCCGTGCCGGCCTGTTCCGCGACGCCCTTTCCAAATCCCTGCTGCGTCGCGCCCGCCCGGAGATCCGTGACCTGTACAACATTCTCGAGGTTGACTTCCACCCGCTGTCCATCTGCAAGAAGATCTCGCCCATCCTGACCCAGATTGGCGAGGATGCGGAGATGCAAAAGTACATTCTGCCTCTGCAGCAGGTCATCTTGACGCGCCTGTTCCAACAGCTGTCGCAGGTGTACGAGACGGTCGATCTCGAGTTCGTCGAGAGCCTGGCCCAGTTCCCCGAGGCGTACCAGGTCACCCGTGCTACCGTCGAGAAGTTCATCATGAACGGCAACAAGAAGGGTGACCTCGCCATCCGCATGAACCACGCCACCGGCGTCCTGAGCTTCGACTCCGACATCTTCTCGTCGGCCAAGGCGACCCACGCTGGCTCCGCCGCCGGGTCTGCCGAGACGGAGGCGAAGTCGGTCCAGCGCCTGCAGAGCACGCCGTCTGAGATTGTGCGCTCGCAGCTGAGCCGCCTGGCAAAGACCCTGTACACCACCTGCTACTACATTGACTCGTCCTTCAACCAGACACGCATCGATGCGCGCGCTGAGGCTCTGGCGCGTGCCAAGGCTGGCGCCGAGCAGGAGCACCTCGACACCCTGGGCCGCAAGGACATTATCCAGAAGCGCAAGGAGGAGGCTTCGGAGCTGCAGGCCAAGCGCGAGAAGGAGAACGCCAAGATCAAGAAGATGCGCGAGCTGGCGATCCTTGAGGCTGAGCAGCAGCGCCAGCAGCAGGAGCAGAAGGAGCGTGAGCTGAAGCGTATGGAACGCGAGCGCGAGCAGATCCGGCAGACCGAGGTCGAGAACATGATCAAGGAGCTCAGGATCGGGCCGAAGGCTCTCGACATCAACGGCGAGGACCTGGCCACCCTGGACCCTCAGAGACTGCGTGCCATTAAGCTGCAGCAGCTCGAGCGCGAGAAGAACGACGTCAACGAGCGTCTGCGCGTGACGGGCAAGCGCATTGACCACCTTGAGCGCGCCTACCGCAAGGAGGAGGTCAAGAAGCTGGCCGACGACTACGCTGAGCAGCAGAAGCGTGACCTGGCCAACTACGAGGCCGCTAAGGCCGAGACCCTCAAGGAGTCGAAGCGGAAGCACGAGGCCAATGTCGAGCTCAAGAACCGCCTCAGCCGTCTGGTGTCCAACTTTGAGCAGTTCCGCGACGAGATCATTGACCGTCGCCGGGACGAGTTTGACCGCCGCCGCCGCGAGGCAGAGCGCGAGCTGGAGAAGCAGATCACCCAGCGCAAGAAGGAGTACCGCGAGCGGAAGCTGCGCGAGAAGCGCGAGCGCGAGGAGGAGGAGCGCCAGCTGCGCGAGGCCGAGGAGAAGGCCGCCCAGGAGAAGGAGGAACAGAAGAAGCGCGACGAGGCCCGGAGAGAGGAGATGGCCCGCCTCAAGGCCCAGCGCGAGAAGGAGCACCAGGAGGCTCTGGAGAAGGCCGCCCTCCAGGCGCGCCGCGAAGAGGAGGCCCTGGCAAGACGCAAGGCAGAGAAGCTTAACGCCGGTGCCGGCATATCACGGCGCGACGCCGCCGCCGACGCGCCTGCTACCGAGCGCCGGCCAGTTCTTAACCTGCCCGGTGCCCGCAGCTGGCGCGAGCGGGAAGCGTCTAAGAACGCTGGTGCTGGTGCTGAGGGCGCTGGTGCCGCGGCACCACCCGCCGCCTCGGGCCGCCCTGAGCGGACCAGCACCCCAATGGAGCGTACTGACTCCAACGACCGTCCGTCGGGCCCGCCGCGCTTGAACCTGGCCGGAGGTGGCAAGCCCTCGTGGCGTGACCGTGAGGCCGCCAAAGCTGCCTCGGACGCCCCGAGCGCCGCCGGACCTAGCTCTAGAGACAGCCCGGCACCGCGGACATTCTCTGGCCGCGGTCCGCCGCCTGCCCGGACAGGGACCCCCCGTGGTGACGGACCGAGCCGTGACGTCAGCCGCGACATTGGCCGCGAGAATGGCCGTGGCGACAAGGCCACCCGCGAGGAGTCGCCCGCTGCTCCCAAAGAGTCGTTGACCGCGTCAGGCGCCCCCGGTAAGTACGTGCCCAAATTCCGGCGCGATGCTTAATTTTGGGAACGCAGACGGGGTGGTATGGGGCAAGCGTCATTGTTGTTCCAGTTAGGCAAATGAAAGAGAAATAAAAATCCATGCTCGGGTAGCGCGGGAACGAGAGGAGCAAAGCGCCGTTTTGTGTCATTTATAAACGGCAGGGCGAAGAGAAAAACCACAAAAGTATCTGCGCCGTCATCATGTCAGTGCGTCTCTTTGATGTTTTTGTCTTTGTGTTTGTGCATGTTTTTTTTACTTTTTTAAAAGGGAGTTTGGCTTTCTTCCTGTTTATTGCCTTGTTACCGATCAGTACCATTGAATTATTATGTTCTCATTGCATCGTTCCGTCTTTCCTATTGTGTCTTTCCGTGTCGTGTACGTTTTCCGTTCTCCTTCTGTCTGCGCATTTGTTCTTTATGAGGCCATGCAATGAACGAACACTGGAAAAGCGTAGCACTGCACAAGTAAATAAATTCAAATTGGAATATAATCACTCTATGCGGACATGGAGGGAGGAAGCAAGAAAGCTCTACCCCTCGTAAACAGAGGTTGTCATATATTTATGCAAATAATTTTAGATATCGCGGGCTTAAAGCAACAAACAGCAACGCGGGTATAAAGACGGATCATGCACTTGGCTCGTCCCTGGAAGACGACTCTGAATTCAGTGCCAGGCCTTCCACTTTGTGTAGGGGCGACTCCACAGCCACGGTCGCGGCCTTTTGGTTTGGCGAGACCCGTTGGTGATGGTTTTGGTGATGGTGCGCAACGTCTCTCTCCTTGTCCCGCAGACTTGGCGACGCCGGGCGGCTGTCCTTGCGCCGGAACAGACTTATGTACTCGCGCTGGGCGACGTATTCGCTCGTCACATAGCCCAAGATGCCCTGAATGTCGCGACTGCGATGGCCCATGATACGGGCAATCTCCGTCGACGAGTACTTGACGAGAGCACGGCCGACTTCGGTGCCGGATGCGACCACGCTGGGAGTCGTAATGGCAGGGGTTGTTCCGTCAGCAGAAGCTGCCGGTTTGCGGTCGACGACCACAATGCGAACGGCGTCGTTCTCGGAAAAGGGGCCTTCGACATCAACGACGCCGACTGGTAGCAGGCCTGCACGCTCGACGAGGGCCTGGTATGCGCCCTGATCGACAAAGACTGTACCGTGAGGCGCGAGGCCGTGCAGAATCCAGAACGAGCGGTCTCGGACGGGCTCGGGCCAGGGGAGGAAGCGTGTGTGGAGAGGAGGTTTGGTGAGGGTGGTGCTTCCAGAGAGTGACGGAGCCATAGAAGACGCCGAAGGGACGGCTGCGGCTGGTATTGACGCAAAGGACGACGACTTTTGCAGCAGGGAGTTGCCCTGCGTGGCCTGGATGTGTGCGAGAATCTGGACGAGGTTGTCCGGGGTGGATGACCGTGTGATGACGGTCGTGACGCCGGCGGATGTAGCCAAGCGAGCAGCCACGATCTTTGTGGACATACCGCCCGTTCCCAAGGCAGAACCAGGAGTAGAAACTACGCGTGTTAGCACAGGGTATTGCTATGGCCAGAAATGAGAACAATCCTTGGGAGAACGAGGTGAGCAACAAAACATACTGTCTGCCTCCAAAGCATTAATGTCATCGACGACCTCGATGGGTTCGGCGTCTGGGTGTTGGCGCGGATTCTTGGTGTACAAGCAGTCGACGTCGGTCATGAGGAACAGGAGATCGGCGTGTATCATGGCAGCCGTGATGGCGGACAGCGTATCGTTGTCGCCGAAGCGGATTTCCTCGACGGCCAACGTGTCGTTCTCGTTGACAATTGGGATGACGCCCATATCAAACAGCTCCGCAAATGTGTTTTGGGCCCGGAGATATTGGGTACGCTGGGGACGGTTAGCAAGGGTTCACAGCTGAGCCAGCCGGCCACGACAGTACGGTGTCTTACATCTGCTATATCGTTCCGTGTCAAGAGGATCTGGGCAATGGGCTGCCGCAGATGGCTGAACAGCGAGTCCCAGAGGCCGATGAGACGGCACTGGCCAATAGCGGCAAGGGCCTGCAGCTGGGCCAGGTGCTTTGGGCGGTTCTCGACGTCCATTCGCCGCAGTCCGACGCCAATGGCACCGGACGAGACAATGACGACGCGGTGGCCATCCTTGCGAAGACGCACGGCAGTCTCGACAATCAACGAGAGCGTTGCAATGAGCGGCTCATGGCTTGTTGCGTCGATAATGGAGCTTGTTCCTGAGAAAGGTATTAGTGCAAAAAAGCAAAGCAGACGGGCCTGATACATTTAACGTACCGAGCTTGATGACGATGCCCAACGGCCGTGGACCCTTCATGGCTGGAGGTTGCAATGTTAGACCGATGATTTGGACGAAGTGTAAGACAGATGTTTGGCGTGAGGCGCATAGTAAGAGGCATGAGAGAAAAGGCGAGGAGAACTTGTGATCGGAGAAGAGCTACAATGTATATATCACTCCATACGCTCGATGTGTGTATATATACAGTGCTGATGCCCCTTCTCCAACGACATAGGGCGTAAGGCCACAGGTAAGATCGGGGAGACCAAGCGATCGAGACACGTGAAAGCAACCGGCCAGAAGCAGAGGGAAACAGGGAAGAGGACAGAGAGTACAGAAGCGGCTCGACGCAGTAAAAAAGAATAAGAAAATAGCTCGGGCGGTTTCTTACACGAGTGATGGACGCTCTGCTGCAAAAGACTGTTGGGTGGATCCATTGTCGGGATGCCCAGCCGGGGGTGGTCAAGGACAGGGGAATGATTGGCGATGGCAAGAAAAGTCTGAACAGTGGTTCGGTCCTGCAACGCAGCAATGGCAGGGCAGCCACCGACGAGACTGTAGATTTGGAGACTGAAGATGGAAAACTGGAGAAGTTTCAACGCTCCAGGCAGATGTGTACATTCAGGGCCGCAGTGCACTAGCAAGGGCAGTTGCGAACGACATGCGCATGCCAAGATTGGAAAAGGAAAAATTGTACTCTAGTTTCTGGGAAAGGGCGTCGCACTCGGCTGGTTGGTCAATTGGAGTCATCGGGGAAGGGACGACCGGTCGTCGACTGACTGTCCTTGCCGTCTTTTTTCTTTCCCGTCCCACCACTAGCCCCGATGTCGGGTAGGCGCATTATGGGAAAGGCAGAGTAAGATTGTCAGTGCACTGAAAGCACTGAATTGGGCGTGCTAAGAGCGCTAGAGCACAGCGGATGAGCTTCCTCAGAGCCTTTGCTGTAGCTGGTCGTTCTGGCGGGGTGTCACGGGACGAGCACCGTTCACCGCCTAAACCACGAATTTTCGCTCTATCGATAGTTGGCAGAATCGGCCGCAGGAAGGACGTGAGGAAAACATCGCGATGATCATTTTTCGGCGCTTCCACGACCTCCCATACAATCATCCACAGAACACAAAATGTCGACGTTACCACCACCACAAACAGCAGACATTGCTGCGTCACCCGTAGCCGCTCAATCCACGTCCTCAATATCGAGCCCACTGCCGTCGTCTTCCTCTTCGTCCTCTTCCCCCTCCGCATCCTCCGCAGCGCCTCCGTCGTCGAGCAATGACCGCCTCCAAAAGTTCCTCGAGAACGACCCTGCCCGCACGGGCTTCGACCCCAAGACCAGCTGGTGGATGACCTACTTCCGCATCCTCAGCGGCCAGGTCACGCCCGAGGGCGTCCACCACTACCGCGAATGGCGCTACCGGCAGAACGAGGCGCGCGACTGCAAGCGCTGCGAAGACGCCCGCGACTACATGCTCAAGTACTCGCCGATTGTGCGCTTCATGGCCGAGAAGACGACACAGCTGGGTGGGCACAAGCTCGACAGCAGCAACATTGTGTGCGCGCGGTGCCCGGCGCGCGTCACCGAAACGCCCGAGGGCGAACTGCGCATCGTGCGGCAGGGCGGCGGTTTCCACCCGGACTATGGCATTCTGCTGTGTGCCAACGAGATGCGCGACCGCAAGCATTTGGAGGACAACCTGGCGCACGAATTGGTGCACGCGTACGACCACCTGCGGTGGAAGGTGGACTGGGACGATCTGCGGCACGCGGCGTGCTCGGAGATCCGGGCGTCGATGCTGAGCGGCGAGTGCCGGTGGACGCGCGAGTCGATTACGCGCGGCAACTGGACGCTGACACAGCAGTTCCAGCGGTGCGTGCGGATGCGGGCCATCCAGTCGCTGACGGCGCGGCCGCGGTGCAAGGACGACGTGCACGCGACCAAGGTGGTCAACGAGGTCTGGGACTCGTGCTTTAGTGACACGCGGCCCTTTGATGACATCTACAAGTAGAGTCGGTGGGAGGCGGAAGGCGCAGGAGGCGGAAGGCGCAGGAGGCGGAAGGCGCAGGAGGCGAAAGATGGAGTGGAGGACGAGAACCGAGGGCGGAAGGGTTGCATACTTGCATTCTTGCACATGCATAAACACGATGAACATGAATTTCAAATGTCAATATCCCCATTCCCTGTATTCAGCCTTGTACCAACAAAACGAAACCATACCAATATGTAAAAGGAATGCATTATAAGAAGCCAACGGATTCACGAAACAAAAAACGCCAAAGTATCAGATCCCGCATATGCATGGTTCCAGCGCAGTGCACTCCTGCCATTTCGCCAGAGTAAATCATATCTCCTTCTCGTCTCCCCTCTCGACTCCCCTCTCATCGTCCCGACAGCGTCGGCTACTCGCCGCCCTTTGTCTTTTCCCGGTTGGTCGCCCGCTCGCCCTTGACGCAATGCTTGATGATCCAAGGGTGTTGCTGGACGGCGTCGAGCGGCAGACGCTTTGCCGGGTCCAGCACAAGAAGCTGAATTTCGTTAGTGTGGATTCCTATAGAGAGCGGAGAGATTTCAACGCAACGGGGGGTCACGACAAACCTTCTTGATGAGATCTCGTGCTTCGGGGCTCACAAACGAGGGAATCGTCATGTCGGCCCGGGCAATGCGGCGGTGCGTCATGACCATCGTGTCCTCAAAGGGCGCCTCGCCGACAAGGAACTCGTACGTCAACACACCCAGACTCCAGAGGTCCACCTTTTCGTCGTACGAGTTGTCGTTGCCGCTACCGTGTGGGCGCACCATCTCCGGCGGCAGGTAGTCGAGGGTGCCGCACAGCGTCGTGCGGCGGTGGTTCGGTGCGTGCACACTCCAGCCGAAATCCGAGATCTTGAGTTCGCCGTGGATGCCGACCAGAATGTTCTCGGGCTTGATGTCGCGGTGGATGACGTGCTTGCGGTGCAGGTAGCGCAGCGCCGACGCCATCTGCGCCACGTACTGCGCGGCCTTCCACTCGGGGAAGCGGTTCTCCTTGCGCAGGTGCTTGTACAGCTCGCCGCGGCCCGCAAACTCCAGGATCAGGAAGATGCGCTTGCTGTCGTGGAAATGGCCGTACATCTTGAGGATGTTGGGGTGGCGCAGGTTGCTCTGGATCTCGACCTCGCGGCGGACCTGCTTCTCGACGCCCGAACCATGCTGCAGCTCCGCCTTGTAGAGCACCTTGAGCGCACAGATGAAACCGCTGCTGCGCTCGCGGGCCAGGTAGACGCGGCCGAACTTGCCCTTGCCGAGGGGCCGGCCAATCTCGAACATGCCGAGGTGGAACTGCCGCGGCTGATTGTAGAGTGGTGATGACAGCTCCGACAATGCTGCGTCGCTGCTTGCCGTCTTCTTGTCATGCTCGGGCGTTTCTGTGGTTGATCCTGTAGTCTCGTCTGATGCCACGGCCACTGTTGTTGTGACAACGCCGCGGCTCTTCCCTGTTGGCGAGGCCGGGTGGTGATGGCTGCTGCCGCTGCTACCAGTTGTCGTGGCCGTCACTGCTGTTGTGGATGCGACCGCGCCCTTCCAGTGTGATGTAGATTGTGCTGAGGAGGATGTTGTGTTTGCGCTCTGAGCTTGCAGGGCGACCTTGAAGAGGTTTCGGTTTGTACTTTGGCCAGAAGGCGCCGTCATGCCCTGTGATGTGATATTAGTATCGGAGTAAATAGAAACTCGTATCGATCACACCCGCACGGCTCCCTCGTCAAGACTCACCTTGGCTTTGGGATACATGCGATTGCCTTCGCCGTTCTCGTCGTTGACCGACATCCGCTCGAAGCGAGATTCCAGGACGCGGGTGGCTGCCATTGTGTTGATGGTAGAGGACAGCCGGGGAGAAGAGATCGAGAGAGGAGAAGAGGAGGGTGGAGAGAGGAAGGGAGAAAGCAGAAAACAGGGAAAGGAAAAAGCGAAAGTTATCTTCTATGAGCTGGGCGGAGGAGAAGAAAGGCTCTCGTACAAACAGCTGTCCGGGCCTTGTTGTGCTTGGGAGGTTCGTCTGGCTCGATGACAAAAGACGGCTGCACACAATTGCACAGAAAACACAGCAATTCGTCTGGTCGCCACAGCGGCAGCGGACGGATGGTCTCGATGATGCGGCGTCTCCACTTTGTGTATTGGCGGTCGCTGACCGGTGTTGCCCCAGCGACGGTCGCACCTGCCGTTTGGCGGACTTAACAGTGTTCGGTGCGCATTCCCCGCACAATCTGTTAGTGCACATAAAATGCGACTCCTTGTATCACAGGCAATTTCCTAAAAGGGTATCAACTAAATATTACTCAACTATTTTCTTACTTTGTAAATGCATCTCTGGCCGCATCTGCGCTTCAACGTCGACAACTCAATAATCCGACGATGAAAACACAGACGCGTGCCAGTTGATGGCACTGCAGACAAGTTTTACCGACTATCGTCTTGACCATTACATAGTACACGATGGTATGAAAGCACAAGACGCAAAGACCTTTCCGAAAGACAACTCCAAAACAAAAACCTCAAACTCCCATTTCCAAAAACCAAGGGATTTCCCCATAAGACGGTGTTCCATCAATATCCTGCCAGACTTGTGTTTGCAAATGTTAGTTCCATCCAGATCCATCCAAATCCATACGGAAAACCCACCAGCTGCACCGTTCACACGCTCGCAAGAACTTCGGCAGTGCCCAAGTCTTCTGTGATGCATATGCGTATGCATTTAGATCGGATAGTAGTGTTCGGAGTCATCGGAATCACCATCCTCCGAGTCGACCAAGATACCCGATGAAGACGATGAGGACGACGACGTCGACGAGACAATGACCAGCTCGTCCTCCGACGTCGTCGGCGACGCGACTGGCATCGGCAGTTCTGGGGACGCGGCAGCGTCGACCAGCGTGGGCGACATAGCCGGGCCCTCGGCTGACCACGCGTCGGGCCACCCGACGGAGGACGAGCCGGGGGCCAGGGACGCAGCATCCGTAGGCCAGAGCCACGCCATGGCGTCTTCATCGTCGCCGTCGGCACCGTCGGGAGTGTTCAGCGTCGTGCTGTCGGAGTCAAAGCACTGGCTGGTGGGGCCGTTTTCGACGTCGGTGTCCGGGTGGTCGACTGTGGCATCGACACTCGGCGGAGGCGGCATGTGCCAGCTGACCGACATGGACTCGAATTGGTTCATATCGACGGGGTGTTGCGGCCGCGGGTGGACGAGCTGCATCTCGACGCCGGTCGAAAGACCGGCATCGTTGTCCGGGTCGGAGACGCCTCCACCAGTGACCACCACCCAAGTGGTGTGGGGCAGAGTGGGAGTTTCTGGCCCTTCGATGACGAGGCAATCGTTGAAGAAGGAACGGGCCTTGCTCAAAACAACCGACCCCGTTTCATCCAGGCGCTGTCCCAGCTCCACGAGCGTCTTGTTCATGCTTCTGCGTAGCCGCCGAAAGCTGCGAGAAAGCTGGTTATACAAAAGCACACCTTCATTTCTGATGTCGTTCAGGAGCTCGTCCATGACCGCAGGGTCTTCTAAGGCACGGTCGATTCTTCTGCCGAGCTCACCGAAGGGGTGTTCTGGCTGGTCTGCCATCGTAGCAAAGGTTGTGAAGATTTTGAGTAATAAAGCGAAGAGGAGAGTTGTCGTCAATAGTTGTCGTCGATGTAGTCAAAAGAGGGCTGGATGTGTAGAGAAAGAACAGAGACAAGAACAGAGACAAGAACAGAGGTTAGCCACCGTGCTGGTTTTCTTTCACTCGGACTCTTCTTTATATACCATGGAGTGTAAAAATTTGCTTCCCTAGGTACGCATTTTAAGCTCGTGGAATCTTATTTCTTACTGAAGCTCCATTTGTTATGTGCAGGCCATGCCGCATGTCGGAGAGAACCAGTGAGCCACTTACGGGTCTTTGCCTCTCCAAGAAGTCTATATTTTGAGCGTGGTTACCATATCGTTGTATTTCATAGTGCCGCACTCATATTACACGTCCGACAGCAAATTTACGTATACTGCACTGTCCTTATGTTTCGTCTTCATTTTGCGTCGTATTTGTTATGGTCAGTTTACATAAACTTGCTGTCGGACGTGTAATATGAGTGAAGCCCTGTGTTGTAGATTGTATCTGATTAGATAACATACAAGGCTGTGGCACAGGGCTCCTCGCTGCAAAAGCTCCTCCGTAGCCGCCCCGCACCGTCCCATATTAGCGTGCGCGCTTCACATCAGCTCCCTTCCAAGAACTTTCTTTTTGACGCCGACAGCTTTCATGCACATCATCAACCACCTACTTACAGATTGGCACCCACATCTGGCCCCTCCTTTTTCATCGCGAACAAAGTGCTTGTCTACTAAACTACCTGATCTACCTTGCCTTTGCTCGACGTGCATGTCATCCCTATTGTCTGAGTTCCTCCTCCTCAACACCCCCCCTCCATAGGCGCCATGGCTGCCCCAGTAAACGACATCACCTCGCCAAACGAGCCCTTCCTGTCGCCCGCCGATCTTGCCCAGGCGACGCGTACACATGTTGTGCAGGGCCGGTGGCAAGTCAGCTCGCGTAAGCTGCCCATTTCGCGCGCCAGCGCCATCGACGCCATGACGAATCGCATTTCCATCCCCGTGCCCGAGATGATCTTTGGCGACAACCAGGTGGCCATACAGCACCTGCCGTCCGGATGGGCTATCTGGTTCGATGCGGGCGACGCGCTGGACGAGGTCGATAAGACGGGCCAGGGCCGGCTGCAGGTTGCGTATGCGAGCGACTGGGCAAGCAGCCGGGAGATGAGTTCGGTCGAGGGCATCCAGGATGTGCGGCCGTACGACTGGAGCTACTCAACGCCATACAAGGGCACGGAGAAGCCTGTGGGTAGCAGTGCCATTAGCAGTGCCAGCGGCAGTTCCAGGTCCAGTGCCAACACAGTATCAACAACGCCGGCATCTGCATCCACAGCAGACGCAGCAGCACCCACCGTCAATGGTACGGCACCAGAAAGCGCACAGGACACCAGCACAATCCTCCGACCACCGCCGCCACCAAGTCCATCTCAGTTGGCATCCTCTTCGCCTTCCTCCTCCCGCCTCTCACCCACGACAGCCGTCACTTCCTTGCCCCTTGACCTCCTGCGCCGCCGCGATCCCATCGTCTTCAACGACGACGTTATCTTGTACGAAAGCGAGCTCGACGACAATGGAATTTCGGTCTTGCGCGTCAAGATCCGTGTCATGCCACAGCGTCTCTTGTTGCTTAGTCGCTTCTACCTGCGCCTCGACAACGTGCTCGTCCGCGTGCGCGACACCCGCGTCTACGTCGACTTTGACACCGACGAGGTCCTGCGCGAGTACACCGCTCGCGAGGACTCGTTTACCAACCTCCAACGTACACTGGCCTCCCGAGGCTTGCGCGCCGACGCCATCATGGTGGCCCTGCGGGACGCCAACCAAGTGGCCGACCTGCTACCCGTTGTGGAGAGCACCATGGAGAGGCTGGACCTGAGACGCAGCTGAACGGCATAGTTGGAATAGTTGGCGCAATAGTTTCATAGTTACATAAAGGGTATCCAGATCGAAGAAAGAAAAACGAAGGAGTAGTTGCATACATGCATGCGTTGTTTACCGTATTTACACATGTGATCTTGATCATCATGGTGTTTCAGAATATCAGATATATATACATCGACGGCCGCCTCAATAGAAGACCTTGCCCTCCATCATGACGCGCGCCGTGCGATGCAGCTCTGCTGACAGCACCGTCCCGTCCGTCTCGTCCAGTGTGGTACCGACTTCGACACGGCCGCTGGGGTGCCCAATAACAATCGTTCCGCTGCCGCCCTCACTTGCACTTGTCGGGTTCTGCTGCGCCTGGGCCACCAGCTGCTCTGCTAATGTACCCGGGATACGCGATGCAGCCCCGAGACAGAGGGCCAGGGTCAGCGGCACCGCCTTGTGCACCTGGCCCATGGACAACGCGACACAACGAATATCTGTTGTTGTTTCACCGGCCGCGGTGCTTGGCGGGAAGAGGATCACAATCTTGGGCACACTCTCCGTGTCGGGGTCCATGCCCATACGGCACGCACCCTCGCGCCGCAGGTGGTCCACGGTCGCTTTGAGGTCGGTGTCGGTCTCGATGGCCGTTGCAACCTCGTCTAGGGTCACCTGCTGGTTGCCATCCTCCGTCGTTGCTTCCGCCAAGCCCAGCGAGCTACCCAACACAAACACGCCTGGGTTCGACACGTCGACGAGCGACGCTGGGATCGATGGCTTCGCGCCCGGCCGCCGCGATAGCATATCCACCGCCTGGCCCGTCGGCAGCCCGTTCTGTGCACCCGTTTTGGCGCCCGCCGGCCGTATAAAGCTCATCGTAATGCGAGAATGTGTGCCCGGCACGCCGTCCATGGCATAGTCGCCATCGGGACAAAACCGCGGCGGATCCCCGGCCACGCGGAACCGCGAGCGGATCAGCTTGTTGGTGTTGGTGTTGAAGATGCGCACGACGCCTTCTTTCGAGCCGTCGTCATCCGCTGTCGTCGTCGTGTCGCAATAGCCCAGGTCAAAGGCCAGAGGGCCCACCGCGCTGATCATGTTGCCGCAGTTGCCTGCCAGGTCCAGCCGCCCGTCGCGGACCCCCACCTGGACAAAGGTAAAGTTAACATCGCGATCCGCACGCTCCGCGTCGTTGGCCGGGGGCGCAATCACGCAGATCTTTGACGTCGAAGACACGCCCGAGCCCATGCCGTCCAGCTGCCGGCCGTGCTGCGGGTCGGGCGAGCCCATGGCCGGCACGAGCACAGGCGTCCACGCTGCCGCGCGAGCGCGCATCCCATCTGCTGCAGATGCTGCATTGCCACGTCTGCAGTCATGGGCATCGTCAAACGCAGGCAAAACATCCTCCCGGATCACGAGGCCGTTGGAAGTACCGCCGCGCACAAAATAGGCCGGGAAGCTGCGCTCGTGCGGTGGTAGTCGCGAAGATGACGAGGATAGGCGGGCATGCGACCTGCGTGCCGAGGCTGCCTGTCGACCCGGCGGCCGTAGCCGGGCGAGCAATCGTTGTGCTAATCTATCAGCCATGTTGTGTTTGTGAAAGAGAGAGAGAGAGAGAAGCTGAATACACTCCGTACAATGTCTCCGGCAAGGAAGGAAGGCACATGTAAAATAGTGTCGTGGAGGAAGGTGCAAGGTGGAGCAAGAATGCCTATTGTCGCACCTGCCATTGGCCAATAGCCCAATTACAGCCGTTCTCGGCAATCGTGACTCGACCTCATAATTACGTCGTACTCTCTGTCTAACAAAAACCAGACGCTCGTTTTATTATTGACTCCTGTTTTATATGATCTCTCGCCCCGTGGCGTGCATCCGTTTCCTAAAAGACAATACAAGTACAATTTAACAGTAAATCCCATTCTCTTCTCCCACTTTCGTCTCTCCTGTGCGCTCTCCTGAATCCCAATCTGGCATTATTCTCTGTATTTTTCTGTCTTCCCCTTACTCATCGTCTTCGTCGTCGCTAACGGCCCGTCTATGTCCCCGTCGAGCAGCCGGTGCCTCCTCTTCCTCATCGTCGTCGTCTGCCTTGGCCGGCTCGTCCTCGTCCTCGCTCTCGTCCAGGACGCGGGCGGCACTTCTCCGAGCACGCTTGCTCTGCTGCTGCTGTGACCGGGAGCCGCCCTCGTCGTCATCGGCCTCGTCCACGTCCATGCGGTCTGACGCGTCGTCACGCACACCCTCGTCGTCTGATCCGGCCGAGCCGCCACGGCGGTTGCTCTGCTCAATGGCCGCATCGGCCGCGTCCAGCGCGTCGTACTCGTCGTCCTCGTCGTCGCTGCTGTGCACCAGTTCTGATGACTTGTACTTGGAGTTCTTGGGCGGATCCTTGCGCGACAGGCGACGCTTCTTCTTCTGGTGCCGGTCCTCCGCGTCAGAGTCGCCTGAGCGGTTGTCGCCGTCCGAGTCGTCGTCGTCGTCTTCGTCTTGTGCCTTCTTCTTGCGCGACCGGCTCTTGCCGCTGCCCGCTGCGCGGTCACTCCGCGGCGCCGGCTTGCGCTTCCGCTTGACCTTCTCGCCCGTCTCGCTGTCGGTCGTCATTTCTGCCTCGCGACGCGCGCGCTCCTCCTCGGCCCGCTTCTCGGCCAGCACGCGGTCGCGCGCCGCAATCTCTTCGCGGTCCTTGCGGATCTTGTCTTGCCGCTCCTTTTCTTGGTCGAGCGCCTTTTGCCGCGCCTCCTCGCGCCGCTTCAGCTCCGCCTGTCGCTGCTCGACCGCCGCTGCCAGCTTCTCCTTGTTCTTCTCCTCGTAGTCCTTTTGACTGGCAATCGCGCGCTCCAGCTGCCGCCGCTGCGTGTTGCGCGCCATGTTAGCACGCTGCTCGACATCCTGTTTCGGATACGGCGTCTGCGGGTGCGCTGCGATCTCGTCCAGCGCCTTGATGGCCTCCTCCAAGCCGCTTGCCGCGTCCTGCAGCTGTTGCAGTGTCCGTTGGCTCTCTTTCAGGCTGTAAATGGTCGACGCCAGCTGGATGTGCGCAAATGCCACGTTGAACTTGAAATGAACCTGATCCGGTGCCACGGAAAGAGCCTGTACAAGTGAGAAGCACATTGTTAGTATCCCAACCGTAGTACTATATACGTTGAAAGGGGTTTTAAGACTCACCTTCTGGGCGCATTCGAGACACATCTTGAATGCCTCCAGGTCCTTGTCCATCTTCGCTTTCTGCAGCCAAACGCGCCCAAGGCACGACAGAATAGTTGGGTCGTTGTTCTTGCCCTCCTTGGCCAGTGCAGCCTCGTAGTTCTCTATCGCCTTGGAGAACTGGCGCAGCTCGGCGTGGATGTGGCCCAAGTTCACGTAGACGTGCGCGTCGCGGACCGTGTCACGGACACTGAGGAAAATGGGCAGCGCGCTGCGGTAGTCCTTCTTGTCCTCGACAAGTGCAATGGCAATACCCTGCGCTGCATACGCGTTCTTAGGGTCCAGCTGCAGAGCCTTGTCAAAGAACTCGACGGCACGGCTGTACGCCGCGCTGCGCTTCTGCTTCTCCTGGTCCGTCTCCCGGCGCATCTCACGCGCCGAAGCCAAGTAGAGGTTGCCCATGCCCACCAGGGCATAACGGTCATGCTTGTCGTAGTTTTGCAGCGTGTGCTTGTAGTGCCGCAGCTCGTGGTCCTCGTTGATGTTGGCCGGCCGCTTCTTGGCGTAGGCTTTGCCCAGGTACCATCCGTACAGAGCGCGCACCTCCAGGTCGCTCGAATTCTCTTGGTACAGCTTGGCCACTGCATCCGGGCCCGCGTCGTTGGGTTGCTTCCGCAGCTTGACGTACGCCAGGCGCAGCAGTGCATCCGTGTAGCCCTCGTGGCGCTTCAGCAAGCCCTCGTACGCTTCGACAGCCTTGTCCACTAGTGCCCGGGCTTCGTAGCTGCGGCCCAGGTTGTAGCTGATGGTTGTAACCAGCGCATCCGCATCCGTCTCCTCATCCTCCTTGTTCTGGATCTTGACGCACGCGTCCAGGGCCAGCTCAAACATGCTGCTGGCCAGCTCCTGCTTGTCCGACTGGAAATAGAAGCAGCCCATGTTGTTCAGCAGCTGCGGCGGCAGAAACTTGCGCAGCGATTCCCGGTGTGTCGCCTCGTCGACGCCCTCGGCGGCCGGCTCGGCCGACTCTGCAATCTGGTCCAGCTCCAACTGCTCCACCTGCTGCAGGCACTGCAAGGCCCTGTCCGGGTGGTCGGCTTCAAACAGCCATGCAAGGTGGAGCAGGACCGCAGAGTCCGGCGATAGGTGCTTCTTGGGGTCCTTCCACGCCGTCCGCACGCTCTCCAGGAGACTAATGGCCTTTTTCTTCTCGACAGCTTTGTCCTCCTTGACGGCGGCACGGTCGTTGGCAAACACCTCCTCGGCATACAATGTGCCAAGAAGTGCCATAGCCTCGAGGCTCTTCGACTGCTGAATCATCTTCTCGAGCCGCAGCTTGGCCTCGCCGAGATCCGACTTGGCCACCGACAGCTGTGCTGCGCCAAACTTGGCCGGAAGGTAGCCACGGTCGGTACCACCGCGAGCATCGTCCGACCGACGGTAGTAGTCGGCCGCCCGCTCGACGTCGCCCTCCATGTGGGCTTTGCGTGCAAGCAAGTACCAGCCGTCAGAGGCAACAGCGTTGATGTCGGTGCTCTGGATGGCCTTGTGGGCCAGCGAGTCGACGTTTGTGAACGCCTTGCGCGACAAGAAGTAGCCCGCAAAGGTCGCACACGTGAGCGGCATGTTCTTGTCCAGCTTAAAGGCCTTCTGGGTGTATTCCGTCATGCCCTTTTTGTACAGGCGCAGGAACTCGGGGCTGTTAGCGGCAACTTGGCCGCTGCTGTCGAGGTAGTAAAGACCCAAGAGGATGTTGGCCACCTTGGACTCAGGTGTGATCTCAAGAGACCGCTCCCATGCCGTCTTGGCGTCTTCCTTGAAGCCAAGCTGCCAGAAGCAGCAGCCAATACCAATGCGCGGGTCAGGGTCCACCAGCTCAGGCGCCTTGCCCAGCACCTCCTGGTAGCCCGAAAGAGCCTCGGCGTACTTCCCAAGCGAGTAGAGCGCGCGGGACTTGCCCATCAGAGCCAGCATGTTCTTGCCCTGAGACACGCGCAGGGCGTCCTCAAAGGACTTCGTGGCCGCGCGCAGCAGCTCCAGCTTTTCACCAGCCACAGGACCAGCACCCCCGCCGCCAGATGCCGTGGGCAGCTGCAGAGAGGCTCGAAGGAGGAGCAGAACGCCACGAGCCAAGAACAGAGGAGGGTACGCAGGGTTAATGCGTGAGGCCTCGTTGAGGGTCGACGTCGCCAGTTGCAGGTAGTACTCCTTGGTCTTCGCGTCCGACGCCAGAGCGCCCTCGGGGGGCACGCGCGGTGCCAAACGGCTCTTCCACAGGTACATCCAGCACAGACATGCCACGATGCTCAGCTTCTCCTTGGGGTTGTTGTTCTGCATGGCATTGCCACCGCGGATGAGCATTTCGATGGCATTCTCAATCTTGCCTTGCTTGGCGTACGCCAGCGACACGGTCATCCAGTACGTGCGCGCCGCGTTCTCGTTTTCGAACAGGTCACAAAGATCCGTGGGGTCGTCAACTAAGTTCTCAAGGCCAATCTCGACAGCCTCGTCTTCGTCTTGCGTCGGGACATCGATGGCAATGGGCACGTCCGTAAACCGCTTGCTCTCTGGGTGCGCGAAGCCACCGTTTGCGCCGCCGTGGTGCCCATTGCGGAGAGCGGACGACATTGCAACAATCGGTTCGTTTTGATACGAAAGCACGAAAGATCGTCAGGGTGGTAGGGGAGGATGGTATTGTCGCAGCGCGTTGGTATTGAGCGGTTGGTCGTGATCGTCGACGAGAAAGACGCGACTGAAAGCTGCAGTCAGCTTCAAAAGGCCGCAAGGGGCAGCTATAAGGAGCTTCCTGCTGGCCGTTCACAAACCAATATCGAGTCTCGGTGTGTTGATTCCTAGCAGTGCTGCATGGTCTTGTTTCGTCGTGGTGCTCGATCGCAATGAATGGCACAGGCCTTGGTGATGCCTTCGGTTTGCTGTCAATAAAGAAAATAAATTCGGGGGTCAAAGGTTGGTTGGCGCCCGTTTTCAGTCTAGCCCCACTCTGCGCATCCCTCGATTACGGTCACGTGAATGTAGTTGCTCCATGTTGCCAAACAAGCGACCATCGTCAAAGACCGATGCTTAACGTTGTCCAGGGACTCTTTGGCGGGAACGTTTGTAATGAAAGTTTTTGAAATATAACATTTTTCGTATTCCCATTTAAGGAATGCTTTCGCTTGCCGGTGTTGAGTTGCGGCTCTAATGTTGCACCCACTGTACTGCATTTACCTTGTGACTTATATGCAAGCTATATATGGCTCGGATTTTGGTGCATCAAAAGACGTTGTTATTCGCAACTTCTTTATTCTTTCTAATTCGTTCTTTCTATTTTTGCTTTTTTGCTTTTTGCTTTAGAAGTTTCCAGGTAATGCAGGCAAGTTATACACCAGGAATTAGCAAGCCACCTAAGTAGCTCTTCCTACATGCTCTTCGTGCCGCCCCTCAACAATCGTTCGTTACTTCCCTTCCTGTCAAAAAGCACACAGTCGCTCCTTCCTCATTTTACATAATAAAGGTCTCTAAAAAGATTGCAGTGAGTCGCGACTTCCTGCCCCGAGTCCTAGTAGCTTTACCCCTTTTATCTCGACCTCCCCGCTTCCATGTCAGAAATGATCATTTTTTACTTCACCGTTGCCAGCTGTGGGCGTGAATAATTCTCAAATCACCAACTTTGATACAGCCTCAACTTGACTGGAGGCCATATCAGGATGGCACCACCTCTACAATGGACCAATGGTCCCTTGGTCAAAACTACAGAGCTCACTAACGCCTCACAGGCACGCAGCCATACCATCAAACGATTCGAAGACCCCAACGATCAAGATTGCCATGGCTGGAGCTGTTACACCAGCGCCGAACAGGCAGGCATTATATTCATGTCCATCATTGTCCCGATTGTTCTATTTATGGTCTTTTGGTATGCTGTGATGAGGCCAATCCTGGACAACATGTCTATTTCGGACTACGACGACCTGGAGCCGCAGCAGCCACCTCCACCAACACAGCCAGTGCAGCCGCCTCCGCCAGAGATCCAACCGCAGGCCCCTATCCAAGAGCAACAGCCAAAGGAAGCTCCCGCTCCTCCCCCAGAGCAGCCAGCTCAGCCACCGCCTCCGCCGCCGGCGCCGGGGCCATCGTCACCGCCGCAGAAGGAACAGAGTCCTGTCCAATCTCCCTTGAAGCTTCCGCCGATCACGGCAGTAGAGAATACCTCGTCTCCTGGCCAAGCTACCCAGTCCCCAACTGTTGTATTGAATTTCAATGGTCCTCAGATAGGTAGTCCATTCCTCGCTTGTGCGGTTTCTCCAGAGGCTCCGGCAAAGGCACAGCCCCAACCAAAGCCGGCAAATCAGCCAATTCAGAAGCACGCTGAGCAACAGGAACCACAACTAGCACAACAAGAAGAAGTGCCGGTGGTAGGAAATCCAGCTGGCGTGAATACCGGGGAGCCGAGTGGCCAGAAGTTTGAGCAACAGCATGTTCACCAGCCTCCGTCTCCACAGGCACCGCAAGGCGGCTCACAGATTCCTTTTGCACCGAACCAGTCGTTTCCTCCTGGCCAGCCGTTTCCGCCCGGGGTTCCGTGTCAGCAGCAGTCACAGCCAGTCTACTTTACGGCATCACAGTTCATGCCCATCCTCCCTCCTCCGCCTCCACCGCTTCACGGGCAAGCGCCACCCGCCGTCTTCACTGGCGGAACTCCAATATTCCCAGGCCCTCCTGGTCTGTACCCGTCAAACCATATTCCACAGATGACAAGCTATGGCCCGCCGGCAGCCCCTCCTGGCTTTCAAGTGCCGCCTCACCAAATGGCCACCCGGGCCTTTCGTGGCCAACCCGATTCACCGACCACACTCAATACGAGCTGTAGCACCGGGCAGCAGTCGATGTTGTCCCGCGCACACCGACACCCGCCGCCGGGACGTGCGCGTACGATATCTGATCCCTTGTCAGATCGGGTCTTGTCCGATAGCCTTCTAAAAGCTTCCTCTCTGTCTGAGATAACTTTGCCGTCGGAGACTTCTGTGGGACGTGGCAATGGCCACAAGAAAAGCAAAAGGCGAGGATATAGGAGGGACGGTCGCAGGCCAGCAGCTAAGCCGAGCAAAACTGAGACACAAGTCCGGCGTGATACTTTGCGGCTGCCGAAGGACACTTACCAGCGCCGCCCGGATGGCAGGTACAGACGTGATGTCAAAGACATCACCGTGAGGAGAGTACGTCCAGTGCGCCGAGAATCCAGCCGAAGCCCCAGCCGAAGTTCAATTTCAGACAGTCATCGGTGAGTTTGTGTAGAGCACGTTTCTTGACACTTCAATCATCGCAGCTTCTAACACGTGAAGCAGTTCGCAATACAATTTTCGGCCGGTGGAGGACAAAAGACCGTCCCGACTGAGATTCCTCGCTCCGCTGATACCCATGGCTCTTGGAGCACTAGATGTTGTTGCAGACGCGGAGGAGAAGAAACGGAGAGGACATTCCCCGAATGGAAAATATCCTCGCCATAAGTACCGTCCCAACGGACGGCACGGGAATTGCCCCAGAACTGAGGCAATCCGGTAAGGATGATAAGCCGTGACGCCTTACCAGTCCAGTTCCACCCAGCGCAAAGAAATAACGAGCCATGACAGGTCATGCGAGGCAGCCACTGGCCGCCGCAACAGAGACACTCTGGAGAGAAGAAGCCAGGAACGAAGGAGGCCAGTGCTGGAGCATCTCAGAGGAGGAGATGATGGGAGCAGCGACAGCACCGCATTCTGGCGGTTTCGTGACGATTCGGGGAGCTGCCCGGGGGAACATGTTTAAAGCGGCTAAGAAAGTTCATTTTTCGCCGGAAACAGAGAACGATATGAAGCATAAGATAGCAAAGCAGATTATTCAGGGAGAAAATCCAATTGTTGAGGAAGGTTTACGGCATGGCAAAGGAAACAGTCGTCAATAGAGCAAATTGTTATATCTCGAATGGTGTGCTCAATGGACCACGTTTTGGCGGGTGCCTGTTCTTGGTGCTGTGTTTCCTGCCCAGAAACAAAAAGTGGGTCCGACGTGCCAGTGGTCGTCGTCATATCTGGGAAGGCGCGAGGCAAGTCAAGAGGCTGGGGAAGGTAGGATCCACTGGCCCGGTTCCTCCTGCTTTCAAACGTTCATCAGTAAGGGCAACGCTTCGGTGGGCACCGCTTTGCTGTCGCAACTCTCCCACGTTTCTGTCTCGCTCGCGGTTGTTCCATTTCTGCATCTGAGTGCAGCGTCCGCGACATTGTTACGACATTCTGGTACGGCACCTTGTTTACTTGCCCTCTGCTCCGTTTGAAGCTCAACTCCGAGCTATCCATTATTGACGACCCCTCCTCACCTATGCCCCCCGCCACCGTTTAGCTGTTACATCTAAACGTCCTCAACAATTTCTCAACCTCAGCCTCAGTGACCGTGGCCTTTGACGACGATCTCACTCGACAACCCTTCACCGATTATCCATTTTATTATTCCGAGAGCACGATACCGCACATCCGGCCCTTTCAATACTTGTCTCGTCGCTTGTGAAGACTCGGTTGCCCATCATGTGGAACGACGAGGACAACAACCCATATGGCAGCAGCTTTGATCGTCGAGACTCATATGGCTCGTCTGCGATACCGGCGTCTCCAGATTCTCGTGAGTATTCCTTGCCCTCGCTCCTTGCCCAATATCCGCCTCACTTGGACATTCTGCTGACCTCTGCTTCGCCACCAGGCCCCAACTTCGATGCGTCGTCAGTCACTTCTGATGAAGCACAAGACGTCCCTAGCTACGCCAAGCCCACCAGTGACGTCGAGAGCGACGATGACGAGGAAGAAGAAGCGGCTGCTGTGTCACACAGCGAGCTCCAGCCACGGCGGAAGCCCGGCGGCTACGACAGCCGGATCGAACAGCTTCTTTACGAAAACCCAGAAACCCCCATATACATCACGGATGCGGGGAAGAGTGTAGAGAACAGTGGGCGCTACATCGTGTACACAATCCGGACAGGTGTAAGTTGGACAGCATACTCTGTGACTTTTTTTTTGATGGAGGTGTTGCTCGAAGCTAACTCTTACTTTCTCTTTAACAGGATCTCGAGGTTCGGCGGCGATACTCTGAGTTTGCGACCCTACGCGATGCTCTGACACGGCTGCATCCGACCCTCATCATTCCCCCAATACCCGAGAAGCACACGATGGCCGACTATGCTGCGAATCCGACCAATGCCAAGCAAGACCAGCAGATCATTGATTTGCGCAAGCGGATGCTTGCCGTCTTCCTCAACCGTTGCCGACGCATGGAGCAGATCCGGACGGATGGTGTCTGGTGGCGGTTTCTTGACCCCAACGCAAGCTGGAACGAGGTACTGCACTCGCATCCCATTGCGTCGATTCCCAAGTCCATCCTCAAAGCGCCTCCTCTCAACACCGCAAACCCGACTCCGGCACACAGCTACCTGCCCATCCCAGCGGCGTCGTCGAAGCTCAAGGTGTCGTCCGGGACGCCGAGTGTCCCTACTATCGACGGCTCTCTGGCGCGCTTCCCCCCAGAGTCAAGCCAGCTGACAGAGCAGGATCTCGACCCGTACTTCACATCTTTCGAGGCATCAATCAAGGAGCTCGAGCAGCTTCTTATGGGTCCAATGGAGAAGGTCAACCGTCGCACGCTCAGCCACCTGTCGTCCCTTGCGTCCGACCAGTGCGAGCTCGGCGCTCGGTACAACGCTTTTGCGCTATCAGAGACAGCGCCGACTTTGGGAGCCGCCATTGAGCGGATTGGCCAGGCTGTTGACTCCTCGTACATAGCAACGGAAGAGCTCTCCAGCTCACTCGGCGCCAGCTTCGCCGAGCCAATGCGCGAGAACGCCCAGTTTGCGGGTGTGGTCCGCAGCGTGCTGCGGTACCGGATCCTGAAGCGTGTCCAGCAGGAGATGACCAATGACGATTTGAACAAGAAGCGGGCACTCCTGGACCAGCTGGAGCGCAGCGAGGCGGAGGCACGGCGCATCGACCAGTACCTCAGCGGCAGCCAACAGATCCAGCCGCCACGGCGGTCGAACAGCTCAAGAGACCAGTCTGGGCAGCATCACCGCAGGGACGGTAGCCAAGAAGACACGGCCTCGATCGACTCGGACTTCCCGCCGACACACGGCGACTACTCGTCTGTTCCCTCGGCCAAAAACGGACCGCCAGAGCGCAGTGTGTCCAACCCGGGCCACAAGAAAGTGGCCAGCGGCAATTCGATCACAAACAAAATCTTTGGGCCGATTCGGCACGCGGTGCAGGGAGTCGTGGATGTCGACCCAGAACGGACACGCCGTGACACGATTACCAAAACACGCGAATCGATTGCACAGCTGGAGCAGGCCCAAGTAGCGTCTGCCCAGGACGTCAAGGACGCGAGCGCCAACGTGCTGCGTGACCTGAAGCGGTTCCAAAAGGAGAAGGAGGACGATCTCAAGCGATACATGGTACGTTGACACACGAAGCCTCTGGCACAGCTCTACTGCGGGCACAAGAACAAAATGCTAACGAGTTTTACAGCTTGCCTATGCAAAGAGCCAGATCGAGTGGGCCAAGAAGAACAGAGAAACGTGGGAGGAGGCGCGCCAGGAAGTCGACAAGATCGAACCGGAATAATGGGGCCTAGGAAGGCTATGGCGCATACTGATTCACGCCTTGTACTTTTTCTGCTTTGCATTTCTTTTACCCACTACACATACTCTTTCGATGTCGCACTGTTACTTCTCGATGAATTATCTTGCACTGTTTTGCTTATTAGGTTGCCTGGACAGGCGGACATGGTCTGACGGTTGTAATGCAGCCTTGTACGGCAACGCCATGATAATGCTACCATAGTTTATCATTGAATTGATTTTGCTGCCCATCCACATCAACCGAAAATAGCATCGCATCATAGTGATTTCGAGCTGTGAGCTGATGAGCTGATGAGCTGATGCTTTTGATACGATGATCGATGGTCTCGTGAATGGGAAGGCTAACAGTGGAGAAGATGGAAATACAGTGTGAATTATTAAATGTAAGCAGAATCATGCGCTATTAATCTCGTATGTACTGTATAAGCACTGTGTTCTAGGCTCTATGGATAGCGGCTGCCATCCTCCACTGTGGGGAGCTCCTGCCCTAGCCGTCGTCAGGCTCCGCCAGAGCTCCTTCTCTTAACGTATGAGACATTGGCCACCAACCGCGCCCCCTCCTTTCCGCCCATTTCACGATGGTCTCGTGGCTGAACAAGCGACCACCATTCTGTTCCAGTTGACGAATGACCGACTACGACGAGTCTCCGCTACGCATAGGCGTATCTCACGACATCCAAGGCCCTCGTCTTACCTTGCGTCTTATGCTTTAGCTTCGTTGACCTCCGACCGTTGTCATAATTGCTTATCTGCTCCGACATACTTCCTCTTCTTCCGTCGTCCTTTGCATATCTCGATATTCTGACATCTGATGGTGCAACAAACCTGTGAACGGTTATCCAACGACCCTTTTTCATCCCTCCTCCCGCGTGTATATACAATTCCGACCCTTCCTCCTCGTTCACTGTCCACTGTCCCTCCCGTCCCATGCCGTCGCCGTTAGACCGCTCCCCAGATCCGATGAACGCTGCAGGAAACGCCGACGCAGGTAACGCAGGGACAGCCACCGACGATGCTGGCAACGAACACTCGCCGCTTCTGTCGCCCGATGCGGTAGACTCTGACGGTGCCGCGCGAGCTGACGCCGGCAACAGCGGCGACGTCGACGTTGAGGACAACCGCGGCCCCCAAAGCGGCGCCGACCCCCACGACGAGGATGAGTGGCAGCGCACCAAGTCCGTTTGGTACATGACGTTGCTCACAATCAGCCTGGCCGGCCTGCAGATCGCGTGGTCCGTCGAGCTGTCCAACGGCTCGCCGTACCTGCTGTCCCTGGGCCTCAGCAAGTCGCTGATGGCGCTCGTGTGGATCGCCGGGCCGCTGTCTGGTACGCTCGTGCAGCCGTACGTGGGCATGCTGAGCGACAACTGCCGCGTGCCGTGGGGCAAGCGCAAGCCGTTCATGCTGGGCGGGGCGGCGGCCACCATTGTCTCGCTGCTGTGTCTCGCATGGGTCAAGGAGATGGTGTCCATGCCGCTGCACGCCGTCTTTGGTGTCGACCCGGCGTCCGACGGCGTCCGCGTGGCCATTATTGTGGCCGCCGTGTTGTGGGTCTACATCCTGGACTTTGCCATCAACACGGTGCAGGCGGCCATCCGCGCGTTTATTGTCGACTGCGCGCCCGCCCACCAGCAGGAGTCGGCCAACGCCATGGCCAGCCGCATGACGGGCATCGGTAACATCATCGGCTATGTTGCAGGCTACTTGAACCTGCCCAGCTTCCTGTGGTGGCTCGGCGGCACGCAGTTCAAGGACCTCTGCGCCATCGCCTGTGTCTCGCTGGGCGCCACCGTGGTCCTGACCTGCGTTGTTGTCCGCGAGCGCGATCCCCGGCTCGAGGGTCCGCCGCCCCCCAACAAGCCGGGTGTGGTCCCCTTTTTCAAGCTCATCTTTGTATCGATCCGCCGCTTACCGCCGCAGATCTACAAGGTGTGCACAGTGCAGTTCTGTGCGTGGGTGGGCTTCTTCCCGATGCTCTTTTACACGTCGTCGTACATTGGCGAGATCTACGTCGAGCCGTTCCTCGAGGCGAACCCGCACATGACGCCCGAGGAGCTGGACCGGCTGTACGAGCAGGCGACACGCGTTGGCACCTTTGCCCTGCTCATCTACTCGATTACGAGTCTCTGCACCAACGTGTTTCTGCCCTTCTTCATCGCACCCACCTACGATAGCCGACACGTCGACCATCCGAAACAGGGACAGCAGCAGGGCCGACCACAGCAGCTTTCTGTAGTCGACAGCGGTGCAGCTGGCGGCGCTAGTGGACGGGACCACCACAGCGGTGAAAAGAAGACCAAGTCGTGGCTGGACTACCTTGTGATCCCCGGGCTCACGCTGCGGCGTGCATGGATGCTGTCGCTGCTCCTCTTTTCTGGCAGTATGTTCTGCACGGTGCTGGTGCGCTCTGTAGCGGCCGCCACATTCCTCATCGGCCTCGTCGGTATTACGTGGGCGCTCACGCTGTGGGCGCCGTGGGCCATTATCAGCGCGGAGATCAGCAATCGCGATGCCCAGATCCGAGCCCGCAAGCAGGCGGCCCGTCTGGCTCGGGGTGAGAACGGTGATGTTGCTGGCGATGCTGGCAACCACGACGACGACGACGACGATGACGATGAAGAAGTCGACCAGGCCGGCGTCATTCTGGGTATCCACAACATGGCCATTGCCGCGCCCCAAATCATTGCCACGGTCGGCTCCAGCATCATATTCAAGTTCCTCCAGAAACCCCGCGGTACACCCGGCGACCACAGCATCGCCGTCGTCATGGCCCTCGGCGGTGTCACGGTACTGCTGGCCGCCTACTACGTGCATAAGATCCAAGACGAGCCAGACGTCGATGCCGGCGTTGTCGGCGATCTTGGTGCCGATGGGCCCTACTACACGGCCGTTCATGACAACACAATCGGCAGCGACACGGGCAGCGAGGACGGCGCCACCCTCCAGCGGCGCATGAGCAGCGAGCAGCTGTCGCGGGCCAGCCAGGACCGGGCTACTGTCGCCCGCAACTCGAGCTTCGGTGGCGGCCTCGAGTATTAGACGGCGCACTGCATCCGCTCTATTTTGTTTCCGATTTTGTTCATTTTTTGTCCCTATTGTGTTATAGGCGTGTTTCTATCAATTTCATTGTTTTTTGGAGTTTTTATATCTTTTTGATACATTTTAAACTTCACAATTACATTTTGTTGTTTTATTCTCGATTGTACTAGTATTTTTAAGTTTTACATCATCTGCGGTATTTAACATAATAATATCCTTTTCGTTTCTCGAGGCTTTCTTTCTTTTTCTTCTTCTTTTGTTTCCCTTTCAATACTCCTTCTTCCATGTCCCCTCTCCCACGCCCCGTGTCTCCCCAGGCTAAAGTCAAAGTCTCCGCCGCGAACCACAACTCGACGGCATATACTATACAAAATGTTTATATCCAATATCGATACGGCCCACTCACAAACGGGCAGCAAACTTCCGCAAAAGACAAAAGCGACGCAAAAGGAGAAATACGACGCTGGAACACACTGGCTACCATACTCGTCTGGATATCGTGTCCCGTTCTAGACCTCGTGATCTGCTACTGCGCATTCGGTCTTTCTTTTCTAGATTGAGGCGGAATCACGTACCGTACAGGAACGGTACAATGGATCCCCTTGTCACGATCCTAAGCCCCTATGTGTTGCCGAGACGAAAATCACCCTCCTCCTCTTCCGCCATACTTCTTCATTGCTTTCCCGGGTTTCTCTCAGTCTGCAATTGAAGATCGTCAAGGCAGATCTTCCTCCGTGTAAATTCTTTTCACTTTCCATCCGGCCACTGCACTCCATCACCTTCGCCACGATGAAGCTCTCTAACAGCCTTCTGCTGCTCGCAGGCACAGCTGCCCAAGCGGCCGTGCTCTGGGATGGCCGCTTCAATGACCTGTCCTCGGCCGCCGACCTCAACACCTGGTCTTGGTCCAACCAAGTCGGCCCCTACCAGTACTACATCCACGGCTCCGGGACCGTCAACAAGTACATTGCTCTGTCGCCCAGTTACAAGAACCCCAACGACACCGTGAGCAAGCAGGGCGCGCGCTTCACGCTCGACTCAACGTCGTTTTGGAACGGCCAGACGATGCGCCGCACGGAACTGATCCCCCAGACAAAGGCGGCCATTGCCAGCGGCAAGGTGTTTTACCACTTTTCCATTATGCGCAAGGACACCAACGCGCCGAGCGTCAACCGCGAGCACCAGATCTGCTTCTTTGAGAGCCACTTTACGGAGCTCAAGTACGGCTGGATCAGCGGTGAGCAGGGCACGAGCAACCCGAACCTGCAGTGGATGGTGAGCCAAAAGAGCCAGTGGAAGACGGAGTGGAAGCCGGACGTGTGGCACAATGTGGCGTACGAGATTGACTTTGCCGGCAAAGTCGGCTTCTGGCATTCGGAGGGCGGCGATCCGCTCAAGCAGGTGGTGGCGCCTGTGTCGGTGTCCGCCTCGTCCAACGGCGCCGATTGGCACCTGGGCGTCCTGGAGCTGCCGCGCTCGGGCTACAACGACGCCAACGAGGACTTTTACTTTTCGGGCGTGTACATTGAGTCGGGCCCTATCACCACAACCATCGGCGGCCCGGCGGCTTGAGAGAGGCCCAGGGGGATGGGGAGGTACAGACAGCATTTGCATTGGCCTCTGTTGGACGATCCAACTGTCACGGTGCACCGTGGAAATTGTGTCAATAAATCATATTTATTTGAAAACGTTTGTCTCTCTGAACTAAATTCAACTACTGATTTTATTGTGTGACAAGACGGCACTCCATCTCCCCGACCCTTTGTTGTATCCCGATTTCCACTGCTCTGTTGCTATTCCTGCTCCAACAATCATTCACCAGACGCTGTTTGTCTGTATAGGGCTAAGCACGCACACTCGCAGTCGACTTGATTGCCGACGTGCAGGTGATGCTGTCGAGGGGATCTTTGCTGCTGAAGGCGGCCGAGCTGCTGCTGCTGCTGCTGCTGCTGCTACGGCCGCCGGCACGAGAGCTGGAGCTGGAGCTGGTGGTGGTCGAGTCCACTGGCCCTGGCGAAGCACGTGTGCTGCAGACGCCAATGGAAGAGCGCGTCTCGCCTGGGATCGGCCGGCCCTGGCTCACATCAAAGGACGAGTAGCCGCCCCAGTACTCGCAGTACGACGTGCCGGCATCGCAGTACCGCAGGTCGCAGGACAGCGACGAAGTACGCGAGGAGCTGGACGGTGCGGAGGTCGTAGGCGACTTGGTGGACAGCGGCGTGGGCCGCTTGGCGGTTGGCGTGATGGTGCCCGTGGTCGTGGCCGTCTGGAACTCGGTGCTTGTCGTTGTGGAGACCACGACGACATGGACGAAAAGCGACTCGACCGCATTGCCGACAGCCGTGTCCTGCCGACTATAGCCACCAAGACGACCAATGCGGCGGCCCGGCAGCGCATCGGGTGCTCTGGTGTCCTCGGTGTTTTCGGCACGCAGTGGGCCGGGACGATCGGACCAAGCGGTAGTAGGCACACGGGCTGACGGGAACGAGTCCCGTGCAGGCTGCAGAGGCAGAGGGACAGCAATGGCAGCGACGGGGCTGAGAGAGCCGGCCGCTACGGCGAGAGGGATAATCAGTCTCATATTCAACAACCGTGGAGGAGCACGATGGTGGAAGACTGAAGAGCAATGGAGCTTCAAGCGAGCGTGGAGGCGGTGGAAGGAGCTGCGATGGCCAGACGCGGTTCATCTAGCGTTGACGAAGAGCCGAGAGAATGCAGGGTCTTGAAAGGAGAGGCTGGTGATGTGCCGTCATAAATCCCGAGAAGACGACTCATAATATATACGTGTGATAAATGGAGAGCAGAGCAAGCAAGATGAGCCGATGGGCAACGGACACTGCAATGCACGACGAAACGAAGCACAAGCTCAACGAGAGCTACGTCGCAATGACGGTAACGGTTGCTCTCGACAAAGAATGTACACAGCTGCGGCTTTGGTGCCGTTCTGTCCGACGATGGTGGTGATCGTTGACATTCGAAACATTTTTAGTTTGCTGTGCGAATGACGCGACGTCGGACTCACCATTGCTGCACAAGACGTCCAGTACACCTTTTGACGGGTTGCACAACCTCACTGGTGTTTGCCCCCCGTCTATCTAGCACATCCTTTATGAAATGCAGGTTGCAGGTCGCAGATTGGAAGGACAACATGAGCTTTGCGTACCTGTGCAACGCCTTTATCTCGCAGGGTCAATCGACGAAGAATTTTCGCCGTCTTTCCGACCGTCTCGATGTTAGGATCTGTCGAGAAAAGAGAAGGAAATTAAAACGGGGCCGTGCAACTAGGACTGCAAAGACAGTGTACAAGTGTGTCCTGACGCAAGTTGAACTGCCCAACTTGAGGATGTGAGTCGTGTGACGAAGAGCTTGCCAACACTGTCTGGTAGTGGCCTGCTTGGTGTTTGCTCGCAAATGTTCCATTCGGCGTAACAGCCGTGTTTGTATCGTGAACGTGCAAATGCGTCATTGCATGCACATCGGAGTTTGCGTTGTAGACATTCATGCTTCTCTTTATTTATTTGAACCAGCAAAGTGCACTGTGATACGCCAGGAAAGGACCCTGTAAGCTTGGTACAAATGGACAAAGGACATAGAAAGAAAGAAGAGAAAATGGAAAAGAAGGAGGGCGAAATGTTGAAACATAGAAGAGAACACGGCCGAGACAAAAGCCGGTCGTTATACCATGAATGCATCTTGTTCGACAAGAGTAAAATTACACCGAAAATAGGAGAATGCATCCGCCTAGTGACATAACAGGACAGGCGACGAACAAACAAAAGAAAACAACGAATAGAAATTGAATCAAACATGAAAAGAATAAATAGGCGGCTTAGGTAACCAAAGCGAGTGAACTCCGCAACAATGTAAAGTGGGGGAATAATCATACACGTAACAAAGAGCCGGAAAAAATGACATGATATGGCGTCAAGGTATAAGGCGAGGGAAAGAACAGCTTTGAAAGAAGGGGAGGGCGGACGAGGGACGACGAAAGCAGCCCGAGACAGACGGTAGAAACGAGCCGAAAACACTACAAGGTGCCCCGTAGTCTTTGCTTTCGTGCCAGCCAGTCGCCGAGCATGTTGTCCAGTTGCTGCAAAGACGGTCAGACACGTTCACACAAGGTAAAACTGGACGGAAGCAAGACAATGACACAACAACTTACCGTCGTAATCTCGGCCAGTTTGGTATTCTGCTCCTTGAAGAGCGTACTGACCACAGGGTGGTCCGGCCCCGCCGGCACAACGTCGGACTTGTCGTACACCACCACCAACAGGTCGCGGACGTCATTACCCGAGTCAAAGAAGGCCCGCAGGCTGGCGTCGTTCCACGTCGCAGTGTTGGCCGTCGTCGTCGACGTCGACGTCGTGATCGAGTCCTGTGCGTAGTGGTTGCCGCCAGACCGGTCCTCGGAGCCTACCAGCTCAGGCGATGGTGACGAAATCGGCGATGACTGGTCCTCCTCCTCTTCCTGGCTTGATGTATCAACCATGAGCGCAGGCGGATGGTTGGCGTTGACAGGCGACCCCTGAACAGGCGATGCCGACGACCCGTCTCCCGACCGCGGCACATCCCTTGTTTGCTGTTGCTGTTGCTGTTGCTCCAGGCGACGCTGTTCGGGATGCGGCCGTTTCTGCTCCTCGTCATGAACGGCGGCCTGGTGTTGCGGCTCAAGAACACCAGCTTCCTCATCCGACTCAAACTCGTCTAGGACCGCCCGTGCAGGGGCCTTTGTGACCATCAGTGGCCGGGTGGCTTGTGAAGCCGCCGTGTTACCAGTAGATCCCTGTTGGTTGTTGCTATTGTTGCTATCCTCTGCACCGTCGGGATCGACCATACGCATGGTGGCTAAAGATACATTGTCAGCACATTCCGGCTTCGCTTCTGGACGCGTCACCCGTGCGCGGGTAGAGGAGGGACCGGTAGTGTCCTTACCATTGGCTTTTTGTGTTGTGCTGCCGTCGGATGGATTTCTTGTTGGCGAGACCTCGGCGATGCGGCCCAATGGTTGTTGTTTCTGGAGCTTGCTCGGATGCCTCTGTGGCCCCTGCTGCGGCGCGGCTGTGGTAGATGGAGACGAAGCCTTTTCTTCCGCGGCCTCCTCTTCCACCTCGTCCAGGTCTCTCTCGGTACCCTCGCTACCAACGTCCATGGACCGTTTTCCAAACGACTCGTCGTCGTCGTTCTCGCCCCGCTTCTTGTCTTTTCTCGAAAACAGGCTACGGAAGCCACCCGCCTTCTTGTCTTTCTCCTTCTTGTCCTTTTTCTTCTTGTCGTCCTTGACAAGGAGACTGTTAATGTCCTTGTCGAGGCGGTCGAGACTCGGGCGTTGCTTCGCGTCCTTGGATTCCGAGGACGTTCGTGGCGCGCTGTCGTCTCTCAGAAGATTAGGCGTCAAGGTGATCTTCTTTGTCTCGACTGTGTCGTCCTTGAAGAACGAGTCGCGAACCGTGCCGTCCTTTGTCTTCTTCGGACCAGGCGTCTCAGATTTGGACACAACAAAGATTTCTTCGCTGGTCCTGGTCAAGCCGCCCTTGCCCGTGCCGTCTTCATTCGCGTCGTCTGTCTTGCCGTCCGCCGCAGCTTTGCCGTTTTCTTTGGGTGCGCGGGGCTTCAAGGGCTCGACCCTCGCCGTCTCATCCTCTTCGTCGGCCACGTCCTTACCAGCCATAGCCCCTGCTTGCTGACCCTGCTGACCCTGCTGTTGTGAATCGGATTGGGTTGCTTCTTTGTGCTCTTCCTGCGATTCCTGCTGCTGCTGCTGCGACTGTTGTTGTTGAGCAAAATATTCGGCCTCCAGGTCTTCCCCGTCTGTCGAGTAGTCGATGTCGGAGTAGTCAACATAGGTCGGTGGTGCGAAGGCAACGGTCTTTGTTTTCCTCCTCCGCATTGCCGACTTCAGGGGGTTCTTCGTCTTCTCGGCCTGGTCACCCAGCATAGACGCGGATAGCTGGTTGCTACTGTTAGTACACCTGCAGGCTACTGTCATGTGGTGGTTCCTGGTGGCCTGGAGCAAATTGTCCCGCACGTACATCAATGTTCCTGTGTTTGTTCAGTCGTGCTAACCGTTCCGTCGGTGTTTCGATGTGCTCGGCAGGAAGGTAGCCTAGGCAATGCGTTAGCTTCCAGCTTCCATACAAGTCACTGTCGCAATGCACAAGCACAGCAGCACAGAAGGTAGCTAGGTCACAACTCACCGATGCTGCTATCCTTGACCACCCGAACGAGCCACCAGTAGCTGTTGCTGTCGTCAAGCAGGACCATGGTGTCTCCCTTTGTCGCATTTGCTTGACCCTCGACCGTAGCCATAAAGGTATGGAGGGCGTAAACAAACTCGAAATCGATGTCCTCTATGTTGTGTAAGCACTCACTTCCCCAACCGGAAATCACAAATTTAACGTCATTGTCATGGGTATCTAATGCGCTAGCACCGCCGCTGGCATTGTCATCACCGTCGTCATCGTCATGATAATATGGTATCATCATTTCATCGAATACGTCGTCGGAAACATCCCAGAGGTCGCGGCCTTTCGAAAAGCCATTCTCCTCCAAACCTGCTTTAGCGGGAGACCGGGTGAAAGAACAGGCTGGGTCGAAGAGCGGGCCGATATTGCGTTTGTCGTAGTTGAGGGGCCACGGCGGCGTGTTCTCGTTCGTATCATACCTACTGCGATGACGACGGTGTTGGCGGAAAGCAGGTCCGTCCGGAGACACTGGAGGCGTTTTGGATGCCTGACTGTTCCCTGACACTCGAAGAGGGATTGTGTTCTCCGATACGGGCGCGAGGGGTTGAATCTTTTGTGCATGCAGTGGCCTTGCCAAATCGCAACAATCTGGTCCTGACGGACTGCCACCAGCTCGTGTCTGCTCGTTCGCAATACCCTAAGAGCGAGATGCAGCGCAAGCGGTGGCGGAGGCATCGGCGCGAGCCGACGAAAGGAGAAGCGAGTCAGGGCTTTGTGTGTACGCACCATCTTCGATTGAGGGCGAGCTAGAGATTTTGTCCATCATGTCGTCCTCCAGCTCCTCGTCGTCAATATCCTCCATGTCTTCATCGACAACATCTCCACCATTTTGCGCGATGGCGAGCGCATCCTGCTGTTGGTGCCCCGTCATGCTGAGGTGGTTGGGAGCAGGCTGCTGCAGGCTGCGTGACAGGTTGAGGGTATCGGAAATATCGGCGGCAAGGTCGCTCCCATAAATGTGTAGGTCAGACAAATTCGAACCGGTCCACGATATGCGCCGGTCTTGTGCCGTTTCCGCAGCCACGCCCCGAAGGGTTTCGGCTTGGTGAGAGGCGAGATGAAGGTTGTTTTGGTCCGAGGGGGTCGAGGACGAAGACGACAATGTGTCCTTTGTGCCGGTCGATGTCTTTATTTGAGTGTGGTCTTTGGCGGACGGCGCGTCACGATCTTGGAGATCGATTGTGTCTGTAGCGAGTGCAAAACGAGAAAAAAATAAGAGAAAAAAGCGGTTAGCGACAGAGATGCGACGGGGGGAGTGGAAAATAAGGCGATGCGCCCCAGCGGTACCTGCCCTCCCTTTCCCGTTTGTTTCCCACGATCCTGTCCCCGTAATGCACAGGGGTGATCTGTGGTACCACAGGGCTAAAAAGAGAGTGGGTAAATGCCAAACGTAGGGAGGATGGGACGTCAACGGGGAGAGAACGGGAGAGGAATCGCAGGAATGAGGATGAGGAAGGGGAGTCAAGGGCGGCGGACAGGGCGCAAAAGGTCAATGCAGACTGGTAAACAAGATTGTAACCAGGTCCTGTGCAAGACGTTTCTGAGTTCCCTTGTCCCCTTGTTCGCCCTCGTCACCGCAATTTGGGTCAGGTACGGCGTCCGTCCAGTTCTCTGGAAATACGTACCGGCGCGAATCATTCCAGGTCTCGTCATGTTGGTGAATACGAGACGGCATAAAGAGAGAGTTGTATGGAGAGGCTGGGAATGGGTCTTGGATTGCCCCCAAATCCAAATAACGGGTAAGGAAGGGTCGCTGAGGGTCTGGGAGGATTTTCTGTACTTCGTAAGGCTTTGGAGTACGGGGCATTCCGTACGTCGTACTTTCGACTGGCAACTGCTTTGTCGGTTATTCGTCCGTGTTCCTTACTTTGGAAGAAAAAAACGGCCTCCTTTTCGAAAACGAACTGGGAAGTCAAGTTGGGCCCTTGCTTTGCGCCCCTGTCGAAGTGGACCGGGCAGAATTGTGCTTAAAGCGGGTGGCAGGGAGAAGAGCATGCGACAGAGCATGAGCGCCAAAGCACCAGGGTGGATGGATAGAGATTTGTTCACGTTGCACCGTTGTGGTGCTTCTTTTTTACTTGTCCCCCCTTTTTTTGTTTCTTTCTTCTGGAGTATGAAGTGTTTCTGAAAATCACCAGCCTTCGTAACGTTTTAGGTCGGTCTTTCTTGTGCACCCGGTTGCGCTTTCAGGGATCGTTTCGTCGAGGGCTGTGGGCCAAGGAGGCGGGTTCCTCACAAGGAAAACGACAGGGGAGAAATTGCAACGAAAAGGAGGTTTGACCAGGATGAAACGGGACCAGTGATCGACTAGCCCGCCACCAAAATGGGTAAGGCTTCGAAACAGATTGTATTCTATTAAAGATTTCAGAGTGGCACTGTCGTCGCATCCAGCACACTACTCAGTACAGCAGACGCTGCCTGTGGGCTTCAGCTGACGGGAGAATGGTGATGCTGAGGGAGCTGTTGTTGGGCATCTACACAGTCGATGCAATTGTTGTCGATTGGTACTTTTGTAAACGTCGAGGAAATGAGATGAAGGAAAGAGCGAAAGCAGACCAGAGGAAAAAGACAAGCGACGTCGTGAGAGTCGCTCTTTCCTGAAAGTGAGTTGAAAAGGGGAAGAATTCAGGGGTCATTGATGCTGATTGGCCCCATTCAACGGCGAAAGGAAAGAGGTTCGCACCCCCTTCTCTCAGAGAAACCGTAAAGCTCTTCCAGGAGCAAATGACGACAACCTGCGAGTTTGCTCGTGTGGCTTCACGTGATATTTATCACGTGAGTACATCGCCCAACCCCTAGTACTCTGTAAAAAATGACAGAGTAAATATCCCGTAGATAGTAAAAGAGAGGAATCAACAAAAACAGCCACGATAATGCTCATCCTAATAAGGTGTTTATATCCATATAATGTTTCTGTTAAGCAATGCCCTTTATGTAGGCGATGCGATAGAGGCAGGAGTAAAGAAGCGGAGGGAAACGAAAGAAAAGCCAGGGCGACAGACGACAACTCTATGCAATCCAGACAGAACCGCAACCAACCACGGAGAGCCGCAGCCTCAGCCGCCATTACCTCGCTTCATGCAGATAGAGCTACGAGTGCCAGTTGGCGCCTGGCTGCGATGCTGCTCCGCGCACGGCAGCCTGCGGACGTGTCCGGATGCGTTCTGATCGTCTCACCACACTGTCACCGCGGGCGTGAAAATGCACATTTCTGCGCACACTGCGAGCGGAACACTACGATTTCTTAGGCTTTAACAATGAAGCGTTCACTGCCGTTGATGTTGCTGGATTTTCAAGACGATATCAAGACCCGTTTGCCCGCCATTCATCAGGTCTTTACCACCAGCAGGATACGGCCCAACCATGGCAGATGCAGCGGAACGACGTTCCCGACAAGGAGGCTTACGGCAGATCGCGCTCTTTTCGCCGTTCAATTCCGGGGGCGCTCAAGTTGAGTACAATCCGCCACGTGGAGCGCTACCGGCACTTTTGGCAGGAGGATAACTCAAGATGTGGAATAGTCGCCAAGCGAGACCTCAGCCATACTGAGTTGTCATTTCTGGGTAGGCAGTCATTCTTAGAGGCTCGGGAAGAAGCTCAACGCATCGTTATACACGGCCTGCTGGTAGGCGACTTGCGCTCTACATCGTATTCTCGCGGCTGGCGCGCTATTAGAAGACACGACGAGGCTTGGTTCGCCGTTGTGTGTCCCATACCTGACAGGTCTGGTGTAGGCATCCTAGGAATGGTATTCAGTCTCTGCAGACCGTTGGCTAATCGTCCTGCCTTGCGAGCAGCAGCATTTCGTGCCTTGCGGTGTGGGCCAGTCTGGATGGTAATTACACCTCCGCGGTGTTTTCTGCGTCTACAAGACGACGACATTTCCTGGTTGGTGGTGCCCACCTGGGAATAGATCGTGGACGACGATTGAGCCTGAGATACCGACTCGTCGCCATGTAAATAATCTACAAGACCAAGACCGTGATAATGGTGCTGTGTCCAGCCACACCACCCGCGCCTAAACGTGATTATGCAGTTGTAACACGAGCTCTCTACGAAGTAGGCTTCGTGCGAAATACCTTTCATTTATTCAAGGGGGCCTACCTCGTTTCCCTACCCCTGCTCTGCGCATTTGCTCTCTCCTTGACGGCCGAAACATTGCTTTTTTTAGTGAGGCGCGCGAAACTTGCGTGTAATTACACGGCGTGTTAAGGGATGCGTCACAGCCTCAGCTGACAATGAAGTAAACAAAGCAAATTTTGGCTGGAGGTCAGGTATTAAACGGATAGGGCTATGTAAGTGTTGGCCGTCAAAGAGATACGTCGTACCTTGTTTGCATGTCTCACTTTTGAGCTCGAGAAGCCTTATGGTAGGGACCCGGGGCTGAACATAAGAGGCTCCCGTCCCCGCGGTCCCGTATTACGAGTAGAATCCAACCGCCCACCGACTTTGCAGCTTCTCTCCATCTCTCTATCCAACATCCGCTCTCACACGTTCGTCGTTTATTCTTTGCCCTTCTTTTTCCAATGCCAAACCTCGAAGGTGTACAGTACGCCGTCACGTTTGATGAACTGTTCAACGAGGACAACGACAAAGAGTACATGGCCTGGTTGGATGCCCTCTTAGAGCCAGCCAGTATCGAGTTTCTTAAGCGCTTTGTTGCCAGCAAGCTGGGCGGTGACCGCGGCTCCGTCCATTATGTGGACATGGCGCGCGGCTCCTTCAACGTGGTGCTCCAGTTTCGCATCGACGACGATCGCGCGCCGGCACGGCTGGCACTGCGCATACCTCAGCGCGGCTTCACGGCCGAGGCGGTGACCGCCGAGCGACTCGAGAACGAGGTCCACTGGATGCAATATATCGAGGAGCAGAGCACGGTCCCCGTCCCACATATCTACAGCTGGGCCGCATCCGGCGATGCCGTCGACCCCCGCATCGGGCCGTACATGCTCATGGACTACGTCGAGGGCCAGTCGCTACACTCGTGTCTCGCGACCTGGGAAGCGTCCGACAACGAAACAGACGCCGTGGAAAAGCGCACGGCCGTCTTTGAGCAGCTGGCCGACATTCTCCTGCAGCTCCGCAGCCACCACGTCGACAAGATCGGGTCGATAACAAGGGTCGACGGGGGTGGATGGGCGGTCACGCGGCGCCCGCTCACCATCGACATGCACATTCAGTTGGTGACGATGCCCGGCTTCTCGACCGATGACTGGCCGACAAGTCCGCTGCTGCACGCCAAGAACTACGTGTCGCTGGCGACGGCGCTGCGCAACCATCAAATGCTATGCCTCCGCAACATCAACATCCCTGGCGCTTGGAACAAGGATGGCTTCTACGACTTCCAGGAGGGCGACGCCATCGACATGCAGCGCGCTCTAAAGACGGCCCGCGGCCGTGTCCTCGCGCGGCGCGCCATGGGCCTGCCGGCGACGGCCGCCCATCTCGTCGACGGCGACGGGAACGACGGCGGCGAGCACGACAAGAAGCCGTTTGTGCTGTTCCACCCGGACCTCAATGCCAGCAACATCCTAGTCGACCTGGACACGGCCCGCATCACGGCTCTGATCGACTTTGAGTACACAAACGCCGTGCCAGCCGCGTTGGCCGACGATCCGCCTGTGTGGCTATCGCATATAAATTTTGTGCACTGCCTCACATTCGGCTTCTTCGCCGAGTGGCAGGCTCGGTACAAGTACAGGCTCGACGCCTTTCTGGCTGTCCTAGAGCGTGTTGAGCAGAAGCAGAAGCAGCAGCAGCAGCAGCAGTCGCCGCTGCCTGTCTCTGAACGGCCCCCTTTGTCTGCAAAGATGCGCGCATCGTGGGAGAAAAAGACATATCTCATCAACCACGCACTGCAACGTGCCGAACTCGCCGACACAATCTATCACGGCCAGCCGGCTCTGTTTCCGGCCGTGGTGGAGGCCATCGATGGCACTGACGACTGGACGCAGGAGGTGTACATGTACGAGGAATACACCAGGTGGCAGATTGACTTATATGAGGCGGATCGCAAGGCGCGCCTTCGAAAGAAACAGCCCGCTGGGACTTGAGCACCCACTGGCTGGCATGCAGGGGCGTCCAACAAGTGCAAGACTTGAATTTCGCTTGGTATGTGGTCTTTGCGTCGTGCTGTAGAAAAGTATCTAGAATTCAAAGTCAAGGGCTTTTTGGGTTTCCTTGGCGTGAATAGACATCAGCAGAGCGATCCTTGTCTGCTCGTCTATACGAACCCCAGTGTTGCTGGCAACCAAGACGCGCCAGGACCCCAGCATTGTCACCAGGCAAGTTGCCAAGATCGGCATGGCCGTAACCACCGTGACTGCTGTTTCCCGGCTGCGCCAATACCACGGCTGGACCTCGCTTCGCGCCGCACTGGGTCAATGATGAGTGGCTAGCAGGATTAGCGTGGTTATGCGGAAGTGATGAGAACGTAGTGGCTAGGTTTTATCTTGAGTGGTAAATACTATCAACTACTAGATGAGGTGACAAAGAGGCTTCGTGTTCTTGATCCTACGTTCAACAAATACCAGTGTTTCCCAATTAATGTGTAGTACTCATCTTTGCGAAGTAAACTCCACCTTCCATCCCTAGCCGCCACAAAGTAACCAGCACACTAACACTACAAAACGATAACGGTGGTCTTCAAACCCGACTACCTCACTCGAAAGATCAGTGCCTAAATGCATAGGTTAGTTTCAAGAACAGCCTTCTATTTAGTTACGGTAACCGTACCGACTGGTAAAGGGCTGCGAACGCTGCCGCAACACGAAGTTCCATAATAACAAGGGTTGGGCATCGACGGGATCAGTGCGAAAAGGAAGAAGGCAAAGACAAGTCACAATCAATACAATTTCTCTACTTAATAATAGCTGGCATTCTGTGACAATTTCCCGAAAGCCCGTATCAGACAAAAACAATAAATATAAAAACCCTCCGTTTTTAATTCTCACGTAATAGTATATCATAAGCCAGTTCTCTCATACTAGGGGGGGTGTTAGGACATCCAAGATGCACTTACTTGCTGTCCTATCTTATCCGGCGCCCTGTGGTAGCTTAGTGTAGTTGATTCTGAACCAATACAGCCACCTTCTACTATCTTATGTCCTGACAGACACCAACCCGGCTTTGTTTCACGTCGTCAAGAGTTAAATACGGCGCAGATGACACACACGAGAATGACACGTGACCAGTTGTCGGGAAGTCGACGTCTTCGTATCATATTATCGGCCTTCACTTCGGAACATCTCGACCTTAAACAACCCATTGTTTTGGCTTGCCATGTGTCAGCTTGCCAGGGCGATGATAATCCCCAGGGAGAGACACTGCCGTGTACGAAGGTCGGTGCGCGCTGGCCCCTAGAGCCAACAGGCCCTAACAACCGTCGACGTCGACACAGCTTCAACAGCACGGAAGCACGTTTGGGCAAGCGCAATCGGAGCTCCTGCAGGTGCGTCGAGCTTTAGGCTGACGCTATTAGCCCGGCCGCGCCTTCCTCTGGCGCAAGTGCTGAGTAGAGATGTGAGAGACGTGAGGGAAGTTGCCTTCGGATACTGTTGGCTCGTCCAAATGAAGAAAGCACTCTCTGCCTAACAGGAGTGCATTGCTCTGCCCCTCACTACGCCAGCGTCCACTTACCCCACTCACTGGCCTCCAATAGCCACTATCTGCCTCTCCGATAGGCCTATCTTCGTAGTATTGGAACCCTCTCTTCGACGTCACCTGCCACTTCACTGTAGCCGTTTCCGTACGAGGATCCAAGATGATATGGTTTCCCATTTAGCATCCTCATTTACAGATTTGCTTCCCTTCTTGCCCGTTTCCTCCACCTCTCCTTTTGCTTTTTGTTTTCCATAGAGTCGAATCCTAACCTCTTCGTTCCTGCTTTTCCAAGCTGTCCACTTCCACCGCACATTCGTTGGCCATTCGCACTTGCCTTCCAGGGACGTGAGCCTAAAGCGCCTGCTGTTTCCGTCACTCACCTGCTATCGTCTCCGCCCTCACGCCCCTTATCGTCTCAAGGGCCTGCCCCACCTTCTCGTCGCAGTGACATCCGTAGGCAGGCAGCCAGGCAGGACTACATGGGAAACAATCACGGCTGAGTTCCTGAACTGTGTACGTTGATTCTTTTATTTTGCTTCCCCGCTTGGCGTTGTTCAAGAAATAGAAGACAGATTGTCTTTCCTTATTCCTCTCTTCACTTGCATTCTCGTCCATTGTTGTTCTTATCGTCCTTCCTCGTGTCGTGCCCGGCAAGGAAGTTTGTTAGTGAATATGACGTGACTTGGCGTCTCTCCAAATACAAGGCTGACACTCGATCTCTCTCCCCTCCTCCTCCCATTCTTGCCGTCGACAACAGCAATGGAAGAGCAAAGTATAGGATATTTTGCTCGTCTAGAACCGGATTCGAATCACCAACTTTCTGGCATTTCATCTCCTCCATCATCACATAACCGTCAAGAGTCGACAGCTGTTGCCGCATCCCAGCCATCACAGACATCGCAGACATTACAAAATTTACAAAATTCACAGTCATCCGAGTCCACTTCCTCTCTCCGATTTCCCAAACCTGAAGGCAGCCATCTCCTGGCTCACTGGGTTACCTCGAGCTCGACGACCGTACCAAACGCAATGCAGTCCTCCGGCGTCTTCGACGAAACAAGCAGCCTGGCTGACTCGGCCTACGAGCTGATCAGCAGCACCGATGGTGAGAGTCAGGACGGGCGGGGTACCGACTCTCTGGCTGCCTCCATCACGAGCTCGTTCAACTTCTACCCTCGGGCTGATGACGTCCTCAGTCTAAATGGCAACGAGACCACAAACGACGAGGAGGACGAGGAGGAGGATGAAGATGAGGAGCACGATGAGGCCTCCTCTGACCG